CTCGGTAAAGTGCCTGTAGCTCCTAGAATACTTATCTAATTTATAAAACTTAGTTAAGACCCACCGTGATGAATAAGGCTTTCGAATAAAAAAAAAACCTGCGCATTCAGTTCACTACTTCAGGAGCTACGGTGCCACAGATAGACGCACAGACAGACAGATCGAACTTGGCACACTTATTTGAAGGTTCGTTAAGAAAGGTTTTTGAAATATTTTCTTTTTAATTGTCAGGTTCTACTACTTTTAAAAATGTACCAAATACGCAACTATTGATGATGTGGTTAAATTTGAAATCTTCATGATGTGCAAATCGTATATTAACTTAAGGCTTCTTTTCTAAAATCCTTAAAATCTTAAAACCTACGCAAGAAACTCTGATGAAATTTTTTATGAATGTATTAGTGAAAAAATAAGCAACTGTTTTCCCGCGAATTCGCCTACGTAAATTATAGGCTAAGCCATCCGCGTATGATGCAGCTTCCTGTAGGTATAGTGTTTGTGTTTATCTGTGCCCCTCTTTTCTGTGTTGTGTGATCTGTACTGTAAGAGAAAGAATTTTCAAAATCGGTTCAGTAGTATCGTTTGATCAGCCTATTCAATGCAAACAAACGATAATTCACATATTTCCTCTTTATAATATTAGTAAATAGTAAATGTATTAACTAATATAATTACTTTGCTAAGCAACGAATGACTATCCAATTCCTTTGGCAGTTCTAATAAATCTGATAATCGACGTTTTCACCTTAGACGTTTTGCGTCCAAATCGGCGTAATGGAGTGAACTAATTTCCTGTTAGGAAATTGCCATACCGACCGAGTGCGATTTCCTTAAAAGCCTGTTCGTCACTGTCCCACCATTAATCATTTATTCCAGACAATGAAGTATTATTTTCATAACAATAGATAGCATCGATTTCATACGAATCGAATTCTAATGTAATGTAGCAATACTGTGTGCATTCACCCTAATGCTAGCTTCCATTTATATTTACACACCTATTTACTTGGATAAAGTACTAGATGTAAAACTTAGTGAATGATAGGAATATTTTAGTGTATACATGCTATAGGTAAATATTTAAAATATTGTACAAAAGGGGTGATGCCTAAGTAAAAAATAAATTCTATTTAGCCCGTCAGTAAGATAATAGAAAAATAATAGATACGTATTTTTTGCTTCTTTTTGCCTTTCGATTAGGCAATAATGCCAAATAGCTTAGATAATAGGGATTAAAGTTGAGAAGTAGGGACTCACTACGTAACAAATATTTAAAAAATGTACGAAAGTGAGACAGCATGCGACATTTCAACCCTATTAGCAGCCTTATCGCTAATAAGCAACTTTCACTTTGAAAATAAGTTTTTTTCACACTATCTTAACCAAGACAAGATTTAAAATTAATTTTAAGCAGTAATGTGCTGTAAACAGGAGAGTACTTCCCGTAATGTAAGGCGTTACAACCCTGTCCTTTCGTCAGTGGCTTGTTAAAATTATAATTATGAAAACTGTATTCACCTTTTTGTATCATTTGTACACAATATGAATTGATCAGTTACACTTTTGAGGGTGGACTAATATTTATTATCAAGAGCTACTCTGTGATTCGAAAGGCACGTTAAGCCTTTGGTCCCGGCTGCATTTGCAGTCGTTAATACCTTCCAATCCGCACTGAACCAGCATGGAGGGTGAAGGCCCATCCTCCTTAACCATCCATAAGTAAGGTCTGAGGTTTGTAAGCCCCTAGCCCATAAAAGAGCTGACGATGATGACTTTTAATAATTATTTAGTAATGACACGTTATTAATTCTCTTTCTACAAATAGGTATTTTTTATATGTATATATGCTTATGACGTCTTTTGGTTCTTTTAATTTTTTCAACGTATAAAATGACAACTGAATCACAGAAAAAACATTTACAGAATAAATTATATTGTGTGTTTGTGAAAATACCGCCTAAAACTAATCAAATACACAATTTATGAATCGTAACGAAGTCAGTCGAGTAATTTAGCAAGACTTTGGTAGGTCCAAATAAAAAAGGTAAGGTGACAATATAAATAACAATTTGGCCCACCCTGCTCATGCTCCGTGGATTAGCATAAGAACGCAGCATCACAGACACCCACGCCACATACTGGCCCTCCTTGTCTCTTTATATTTCGAATTTAATTTTGATTTACGACCGTCCATACAATTGTACGCAAAACAACTTATACGCACCCTCTCTGCAAAGGTGATTTTTGTTTTTATGTCATTAAGTATTATGTAATAATTGTTTTTATGATTTTCATATTAAATTGTATAGACTAGCTGTAACTTTGAGGGTTCTGTGTGGCCTGCTATACTGAAGTAGAGATCTACCAATATTTATATCCCAATTTGTCATTAAGTTTAAAGACGAAGAATTTTCAAAATGAAATATTCAAAAATCTATTCTTAATACACCCCTACGTAATAATTCAAATGTCTCTCTCTCTCATGTGTGTGTCCCTCCAAATTTCACGTATCTACGACCACCGGTTTTGACTGTGCTTTGTCTGTCAGTCAGTACATCAGCACAAAGTTTGAGACGTTCTTAATTCTAAATTCTCAATTCAGAAATCGACTGATAGTGTTTCCTCCGTACGAATTTGATTCACACACGATAATTTTCGGGGTAACGAGTGATTAGTATGAAATTTATTTGCAAGGACACAATGTATGTTAGTATATATGGATTTCTAAGCGTGTGTGCTAAATTGTGAATATATAAATGTACATAATAATTTTTGAGGGTAGAGTTTAAAATCAACTGGAGTAGTCTGACATATTATGTACGTGTCTATATAGCTTTTTGTTTGATTAATTAGATTATTGTTAAAGTCAATACAATGACTTACTAAAATCGTGTATTCACTTGTGTATTTTGCATAAAATTAAAATAATAAGCCTGTGCTTTATTAGCAGTAATAATTCACACCAAATTTCTTTTAACCAAAACTTTGTGTCATTAAAAACACCCAATAACTTAATTAATAAAGGCGAAAGACGATAGCCATATCTCACTTCGAGCGGCAGGGTCGCCCCTAAGAGCTTCTTGAGATACTTTTATGCAAATATTGGTAAAAAATATCCTGTTTTTTGGCGAATAATTAATGGAGGGTCTGCTTGTTTTTGACAATCCAAGCATTACAGTGATGTAGTACGGGCAATCAGATCATCTAATTATTTTAAGATGATAATAAATTTCGAGATTTCCATTTAAAGTGGTTTAATGTAATGATATTTTAATTTTATGTTAGTATTACTGTATAATACATACATATGTTTGTTAAGGCAGGCCAGTGCGGTGTACTCCAAGAGAAAAAAATGACACGTGTATAAATAACAATCAGAAGTCTTTTTTGTTTTTTTGAAATCCATTTTCTTCACTGTTGATATGTAATATACATCAGTTGTTGAAAAAATTAGGCTGAAGTCGTAGAGATCGTTACAGCAAGTAAAACGACCATTAAAATTATCATTAATTTAAAGCGACATTACAAATACAAATTTGACATTCATTAGAGCTTAAAGGTGACATTAACCCTAATGGACGTTTGTTCAACTGACCGTATACCTTATGTAGCCTACATAATGTAGGTGACATAATGTCAAACTATCATCAACTACCTATATTATTAGTGGATCGAATAAAATCTTAGTACAATGCTAAATTAGCTTGATTTATAACTTTGTATTACACATTGCTTGATATTTCTTGTTTATGTAGATAGATTAAATTTACTCTTAACTTTCTAATTTCCAGAGAACTTTCATAATTTATACACTCTTAATTCTTCCAGGTGTTCTCCGAGGATACATTTACCTATTAGGGATTTTTTTCTTTTTATTGATACTAAAAGGAATAAGGTATACCTTCATTTTCAAATAACAGTGGAAACAAATAAATAAACAAAAACTATGCACAATACAATTCGAAATAGATTGAAATGGATGACTTACCTAAATCAACCTTTATATTAAATAAACGTAGGTATATGTTATCAAAATAAAATAAGTAATAAACGACCGTGCTCAGTGTTAATACGCATTTAAGATAATATATTTTACCACACAAAAATAAATGTCCACCTAATAAATCGTGCCGGACCTTATCGTCTTTAGAAACGGGACAGTAAGAACCAGATAAGGACACGGATCCCTTCGGAATCGAGTGTCGGGTGGGTTAACTTAATCGTTTACGTTCGGATCGTCATACATTCTCCTTTACGTAAACTCGAAAGAGGTCCATTTTTGTTATAGAGACTCGTTCATACGTCGAACGCGCGTAAGTTGTTCCTAATCGGCGTTGCATCTTAATTTAGTTGTCTTGTATTGTGGGAGGCGTTCTCTGTGGGACATATCCTAACCCACTGAGTAAAAGGCGCCGAGCCCGGCTGATGCATACATCGTCGTATTTATTAGACGTGACCGTAAAAAAGAATTTATGCCCCTAATTGGGCAGGTTCCCGGCGACGAATCAATGTAGGTTACTTTATGATTACTCACCACATTCACAAACTCCTGAAAAGTGATGGCGCTACTCGTTGTACTCTGGGCTTTGTCCAGGAGAATCTGTAATGTTAACCCTGAATTAAAGATATAAATAACGTATCTGTTTTTCACTAGAAAATTTGACAAATAGAATGAAATATTTTAGAACAGGAAGTCCCAAATTATTTTGGCCAGAATTTGTAATACCAAATTCTACATTTATATACTTTAGAAAAGTTTTTAAATACTTGTCAACTTAAAAACCTTGCAGTTGATTAACTGAGTAAACTTGTCATCATTTTCTCGTCAAAAAGTAACAAAATAAATAGACATAATAATTTCAAATGAGAGAGAACCAAGTGCAAAATAATAGGAATGTTTAGACTTCGTCGACCCACAAAATCAGATTTATTTCGATCAACTGATATAATATTTATAATAAATAAGATAATGGCTGCTTAACGAGCCAGAGAAGCTCTGATTAGAGTAGATTTATTAAGAAAAATTACGTCTTATGAGAAAAATAAAGTTACTTATTAGCACTAAAGAATACTTTTAATGCCAAAGTTTGTGATAGTGTTTGTAGTTATGTATGTTTGTTACTCTTTCACGCAAAAACTACTGAACGGATTTTGATGTTTTGCTTGGATAAACATATAGGCTACTTTTTACGTTATTAAATGATTTCCTAGATACTAAAGACAATGGTAATACAGAATAATGCTGTTACCTCTCGTTTGTGATGAGGCACCTGTGCTATGAAGTCGGGATGCTGAAGTGTCTTAAGGAAATCTGGCCACGGAATTTCACCAAAACCCTCTGGATCAAACTGTACATAAAAAGAAACAAATTGAAAATTATAAAATGAGCAACTTCCACAGAAGTCCTAGAATTTACAGCTTATAGGATAGATCAAAGGGAATCAAATTGAATTGGAAAAGGGACTACGATAGATTTAAAAATTAAACATTTAGGGCCCCAGGCTTTCGCCATTTTAGAATTAGGACCTAGTTTTGGCCATTTTAAGAGTTACGAAAGTGAACATGGGCGCATCACAATAGTCATGATGTTAGTTTTGTCAATATTAAACATTTTAAAGACCATGGTAAAATAATGTGTTTGTCTATGCGATATTCAAAACGTTTTCAAGTTCCAAAAGAACAAAAAGAAACTAATGGCCAAAACTGGGTTATTTGCCCGACAAGTGTTTTGTAATCTCTAGAACTCTATTCAAGGAATACTAAATTGCCGCCATACTAAACAATACCTCCTGTAACTTTATAAATATCAAATTTTCCGCAAGGCACATTATCTGAATATGTTTATCTGCCTCATCATTGCTTATCTACTATATCATTTGGTAGTACTTCTGGTCTCCAAAATGCCTATATCTTTGCATATTGATATGATAGCGAATTCGTTTCGGAGTTTGGGCTTTGTAATCCGTGCCTGTCGCCTTTTCAGCTCCTTGACCACCATTAAGGTTGTGTCTTATGCTTACGTGCAAAGTATACTTGAATATGACTGTTCTATCTGGTGCCCAAGATATGCTTTTTACATTTCTGGTATAGTACGTATCGCAAAGAAATTAATACAACATCTCAAGTATAAAATCGATGGTATAAAATCGATACGAAAATACGCTGATAGTTGTATAATTTCTGGATTTTGTCTCTTGAGGAATTACGTCAGTTGCTGGATATGGGGGTTCTATGAGATATAATGCGTGACCGTCTAAGATAGTCCTAATCTTCTAACTGGCTGGCTAGTCGCTCTGCGTACCGGATTAGCGTACACGGCACACCCCGCTTTTTCATATACATCAAACGAGTTACGGAAATAACTCAATACAAATTTTCCAAAACTAATGTTTTCTTTTAAAGGAGCTCTTTGAAAAGACATAAATTTTCTTGACATGACTTCTACTTCCACCTAAACAAACTAAAACTTAAGAACTTAACTATATATACATATGAGTACGAATATGTGTCTGTGTGAATAAGTGTATGTAGATGTAGATATATGAACATAATATAAAGATATGAATGTATGTATGTAGAAAATGCTCTGCATGCTTTACATACTTTTCTCAACCCATCTTTCAAACTTGATTCCTTTCGCTTTTGTTGCTGAGTTGATTTTACAACATTGTTGAAATAATATTTTAGCTATCTGTGTACATTTGTATTGACCTCTGGTTGTTTTCCTGGTTTTTCTGGTTGACCAACTTTTTTACTTATGGGACACTACATCATGCGTGGGTGAAATAGTCTATAATTTACGCAGGCGAAGTTACATAAAGCTACTTTATTATTAAACACTTTTAATTCGAAGTAGGTAATCTTTGTCTCTTTTTTTTTTAATTATATAACCCAAGTAGCATTTAAATATTAAAATGTTAATATCACCCACATAATAGATGGACTATAAAATCACCTAACCTAAACTGTCTTAACGACATCCCATTTATGTTCATTCAATTAATATTTCAAAACGCATCTTCAACGTCATGATCACGCACCTTTCCAAACTTCACACATGGTGCGTGTAACATCTTCAATTCCTTTTCCGAAAAGACTTGGTCAAAAAAAAAACCATAGCGCCCCATATCTTTCACCTCGCATTATCTCAATGTCTCGTACGTGACGACACAACGTTTGATATTCTCGCTACCGCCTCTTTTTATCTGCTTTTAAAACTCTTTATATCCTGCTTCTGTACATTTTAATCAGTCCGAAACAAAAGACTTTTCCTTGAAATTCGTCTCCCTATTAAAAACAAGGGGTTTATGAAATGTGCGTGTTTCTTTAATAGCAATATTAGTTATACTCGCGAGCAGTAAGAGTGGGAGTGCTTTGATATACCTACTAAATATTAGCATAAATTATTTTAATGGTTTTTTATACTAAGCAAATTAAGCTAAATCAATATTTTCTATCATGTGTCAAAAATAAGTCAAAGTAGTATTTGTTTTGAAAATTGGCACATGTGTCCATTATTTACATACTAAGAAAAGGTTTTAGAAAATCAACCCCAAAAGAGGATTGAAAGATTACGGTAAGACCATAATCTATTGTAATATAACAAAGAGGAAAGATTTTAAAAATTCATTAACCTACTGAATGTTTCATCATACACAAGTAACGGGCTATAATTCATGGGAATAACGGGAAAACAGCTAGTTTGTTATAATCGTGAAAATTAGTACCTATTTTACACAGATTCTCTAATAATTTTTCATTTGAATTCGAAGATATTAAACTAAGTATATATGTGTAAGTATTTGAATCACTATAATTGCAATTCATTTACTACTTTAAAAACCTCCTGGCATTTTTACTTTACTAATTATGTTAAATTTACTATTTTTTTATTTTATACAACAAATTATACACCACGTTTCCATGACAACTAAACGCGTTTTATGCAACCGTATCATGCCACCACGATTTTGGTCATAAATCGTCTTCATGCTACAAGAATTATTGTATTCTGAAATATCGACTTTAGTTCGATTTGTGCGTGACTGATTTCGATTTGTGTGGTGCATATACATAGATTTACTTTATAAAAATGTATTCTAAGTTCTGTCTATTCACCGGAATAGTTTATCGTGAGGCACGTATTTCAAAACGCAACTATTGAAGAAAGTTATTCTGTTAATAGAAATGCTTTCACTGAGATTCGCATAAACGTATAATGGATATAAAGTTTTTCTTTAGGTTGTAGATCAACTTTTATATTTTTTTGTATATTAAAGCTACCTCTATATCTTATGGATTAAATTAACAGTTCTAGCAAGAGGCGTCAGGTAGCGAAGTTAAACAAAATGTCTGTCTGGCTGATACTTATCGGTGGCGACATGCTTGAAGCGATTTATATTTCACATCAGTGTGTCACGTACTCTAACATCATCGAAACATTATATTTTTTGCTAACTTATAAATAATATGAATGTAATATTTTGATAAATGAGATATAAACTCACCCTATCGAACAGGAGACGCCATTTCTGGAATTATAAATGTCATATTAAAATAAAACCTATTTCAAGGTTTTTAAATGTGAGAAATGAGAAAACTAAAAACATTTTCTGCGAACCGTGAAACGCGGAACCAACTATTTGTAACGACTTTTTTCCTGTGAATTATCTTTTTTTTGCAAAAAATTATCTACACTTGCGATTTCAATATAAATACGTATGTAATAAGAATCAAATACTCTATTTTCTCTAACTTACATCGTGCATCAACTCCCTTCTGATGTCCGCCTCATCAATTTCTGAGCCAAGATCAGTGTGATCTGTATCATAGAGGGGTTCAGCGGCTCTCGACAAGGATCCCAGAGAGTCCCGTGCTGAGGCGAGGGATCCCGTAACTGTGGGCAGTACCCCCGCCTCAATTCCCGACTCCATAGAAGTGTTGGTCGACATGAGAGTGGCGGTGGCGGCGGGCGGCGGGCGAACCTCACCGCCGCCGGCGCAGCCACTGCCCACCCAAACGGACATCTTTCCAGCAACACCATTCACTCTACTATTTTTGCGGCTGTATGCACTTTGATTCCTCAGTCCATACAAAAGATTAAAAAAAGTTTTTTATTTAAGTTCTACATTTCACTCACTTTTAATGGCTTCGTGAAACTATAGGGACAGAGTTCGGACGATAACGTTTTTGGCAGGACAGAGCTTTCAAAGTTTACTATTACTAATAGTAAAAGGTGTCTAAAGCGAAATGGAGGAAGATCATAAGGCACGAGTTTTGTATTATTTGGCTTACTTAGACTTCGTGTACCTGAAACCAAGAGGATAGATCATTTAAACATTATATAATTTAACTATTTTTACTTCAAAAAGAAGTTTTTATTCTAAAAAGTTGTTGTTTATTTTTGTTTTAAACACAATATCTTATCATCTATACTAATATACGAAGTCGCTGGCGGCCACTAGTCTTTAATATAATATTATCTTTATATACTGACTAGTGGCCGCCAGCGACTTCGTCCGCGTTTTCCATTATTTCTTCGCTCCTAATAGTTGCAGCGTGATGTTATAAGCCTTCCTCGATAAATGGTCAATTCAACACAAAAAGAATTTTTAAATTCGAACCAGTAGTTCCTGAGATTAGCGCGTTCAAACAAACAAACTCTTCAGCTTTATAATATTAGTATAGATTTTGACAAAAATTATATATTTTTATTTAAAAACATCTCAGTTTCATTTTAAATGTATCTTAGATGATAGATTTTTTTTTGTATGAATAGCAATATTACTTAATAACTTGAGTGGATACATAAATGAAACTTTGTATGAACTTCATATTTTGAGCCTTGTTATAGTTATTTGTACATGTAATTATCGTGTTGCTATAAAATATAGGTACTCAAGTACTCAAAATGTTTGGACTAGGTACCTATTTTCCCTCATATATTTGTGTACGATATGAAGGTCATTTTATTATGCGTAGAACTTTTATTAGAACTTTGAATATTTCAATATCATTACACGAAAAGGGTGACATTACAATGAACTAACTCCAATTTAGGGTACGGAATAATACATGTAGGTACCTACTTCGTAGTCAAGAACCTAAAGAAAATAAATCATTCATTTTAACTATTACGTAAGTAGGTACTTGCTACGTAGGTATTTATGATAGTTTAAGAAAGTACCGTAGGTATTATGAAAGTACCGAGACGTAGGGTCTACTCTATTGTCTATAAATGTTGTTCAAATAAAATCCATGAAGATCCTTGTTAGCTCAGTGGTTCGAGCAGTCGCTCATATTGCAAAAGGTCATGGGTTCGAATCCGAAAGAGGGTTTTTTAAACATATTTCGTTAAGAATATTTTCCAGTATAGCATTGTGAATGCAAAATTGACCAAGTATAAATACGTCATTTATTTCAACTAAATCTACCTAAAAACATGTCAAAGTAATAAAATAAAACGCAATATCATTATCATTGCTAAAATCGTAGATCTAGTCATGGGAGATCGTAGCATATGGCTAGAGTCATGGTTAGAAAGTAAGCGCTCGCACTGCATGTCCTTCCTCTATTCCTCTATTGCATCATGAATTATAGAAATATATATTTTTTGTAGTCGTATTTACGTCACGAAAATAGACAATTTTATTTTTATTTACTACACATACACAAGTACACAGATTTTAAGTTCAACACACATGCAAGTTATACAAAACGTCAAGAATAAAAAATATGTAATGTCAAATTAAAAATCGACATTCTATTAGCTAGGCTAAAAAAATATCGTTTCGGACAAACAAAGTAGGCCTGCAGGACACAAAGTCAAATATAACTTTTACCCGTCTGCAAAAGAAGGGTTATGTGTTTCGCGCATATCTTTTATGTAAGTAATATCCTTTATTACCTACCTTCCTTCAGAACAGCTGAATGGATTTAAATAATTCAGATATCTTTAGTTCAGACGTTAAAAAATCAATTGGATTTTTAACGTTACCTAAAGATTTATCATTAAATATATCGGCGGCTGTGTGACGCCATTATATTTAATGATTAATTTGTTTTTCTTTCTATTACTACAATATGGGTATCTAATTAAAGGGCTCAATACAACGATTACAAAAAGGTATACCATGATTATCATTACCGTAATACTAATAAAAATAATACAATGAGAAAATTTAAAAATATGGACTTTGTTTTTTTTCACTTTCTGAACCATCCTAGTATTTTGTCTAACTAAAAATACATAACTTAAATTATAATTAAATAAAATACAATAACCCGCCTGCGTGAAAAACGACGGTTTGTTTTTTAATTTTTTATAAAAAAAAAATAGTGATAATAAGATCAGACTTGGAACGGCGAGATTGAAGCCGTAAATGGCAAGAGATCCCATCGGTTTTCTAGGCAGAAGACCCTGAAGGGAAAGTTTCTACTCTTATGCAGATAGACAAGCTAGGTTTAAAGATCAGCTGCTCTGTTAGTGTAATACCGCGGTTTTACATACGCCGGCGCCGTCCGATTGTAGAGGCCGGCAAATACTAATCGAGTGCTAAACTCGGTGCTCTGAGACTTTGAGAGAACTTTGACAATTCGTAGTTTGCTCCCTCTATACATAATACAGTTATCAGAAGTGGTAGCTTTAGTCTAAATAGTGATCTTACATACATTACACGCGAAGTAAATAAAGCTGACAATTGTGACATTGACAAACCTACATGGGGTTCAACCTGTCAAGAGCGCTCAGTGACATACAAATTTAGTGTGGTAAGTGTAAATTTTACATGATTTTACGTTAAGGTAAAACTTTACACTTGCCACTCACACTCAGGTATCTTGCTTTAATTAAACGCTTACCGATGACAAGCTACAGTCATCTCGTTAGCGCAACTTGCTTTTGGGACGAAGAGTCCGCAACGGAGGACGCTAAAAGCGTTTATTGTATGAAAACCCAAATTAAGAATTAGGAATCACTATATTTGATGAGCTTGCAAAAATACTACTTCCGCGATTCTGAACAACAAACAAAACGCCATCTATTGAGTGATCATGGAACGTATACCATTAATTCATTATTTTTAGTGGGATAAGTATAAGTACCGATAAAAACTTTTATTATATACGCACTTAGTATGTTCCGAAAGTGTGCCAGTAGTAGAGAGAGGGATAAGAAGGTGGTGCGAACTATTAAATCGGCATAAAAGTGAACTAAAGTCGATGTGTGTGATGATAGGATATTGGTTGTGTCAGCAAAACGTGAGCAAGCGCTCATTTGATGCCAGAGGGCTGCGACCCTCTCAACGTTGCTATAGCAACGGACCGCAATTCCATGCCCCAGGCTAGATAACTTGAAAACGTGATAACATTAATGAAGACATTTATTCAATCTCTATATTTAACAAATTTCTTTATTGAACGTTAAAAATTAATAAATTAAAAAAAACTGAAATTGAAAAGAACCGAATAGAAATATGACATAAAGATACGCAAGAAAACAAACATATATCATCGATTACGTATGGATGGAATTAATTACTTACTACTCAGTGATACTAAAATTATATATTTCATTAAGACAATGATTTACAAGATATACTCTCAGTTATATGCGGAGACCCACTCAATTCATAAGTAGTGATATTTAAATTAATATCTACATCACGTAAACAGCTAAACTAATCAAATACAAATACTAATAAAAAAATCACTTAAATGCCAACTGTAATTTAATCAGGTAATAACTTAATCAAGTACAAATTAATACTTTTGTTTTAGTAACTCCATGTTTACATTATAAAAGCCGATAACAATAACAACCTCCACACACGGTCAAAACACTTACCAATAACAAATTACTCTAACCGCTCACTTCACTATCATAAGGGGTATACGACACCTGACTTCATTTCCGAATTATTAAGTATTTCGTGTCAAGAGCACATTATGTGACCGAACGGACTAGGCATTTAGTTTTACGTCAAAACACAGCATGCTGCGGCGAGTATGGCTGGCGTTGAGGCTCCAGCGCATGCGTCATTTAGAGGGTGCCTACTGCAAAATTTATACACTAGGGTGGGTTGCGAGCTTTCTACGATGTAATGAATATGTAGTGCCTCTGTGGGTCAGCTGCGGTAACTGCTGATTGTGGAGAAACATTAACTCCCTTTTAATTCTTTATTGAGCACTTGAGTAAGTTTAAGTAGGTACTTTAATTAATCTAATGGTTGATAAAGCCTAGGTATAAATAATTTCCTCCTTTGAAGGTTGTTCATGTTTTTATTATTCAAATAGTGACTGATACAACTATATTTATACCCCACTTAATATGATACAGTAAAATTTGAAAGTACATTAACCGTAATCGGTGGCAAAAATAATTATTCACATTTATTAAAATATATTTTTGGGATGATTTTGATTAACATAAGTAGGCTGCTTTGGATACGATTGAATGTCCAGCAAAAAAGGTCCTAGGAAAAAGATCTCTAGCGGTTAACAATGGATTTATGAACCTCAAACATCGTCACAGGGTTGCTGTTTTATACGCTGCATTTTGGTAAGTGAACAAAGGAATTCCATGATTCGGCTTCAACAGCCCCGTTCCATCACCGGAAGACTAGACCTGCTTGTAAGCGATTTGCCAGTTCCTTTCTTTTTACTGACTAACTGATAAAGGATTGAATGCACTGCCTGGTTACAGGGCCGCATTAGCCACGTAGCAAATGCTACGTTTGGGGGCTTCGTGTAATTGGAACCTTGCTATAGTTCAGAGCCAATAAATTAAATGGTTCAGGCACAGGCTTAATTCTCCAATAGGTATAACATGGAACTCCAGAATTAATAGGCACTACCTAAGTAGGCATATATCATCGTCAAGTGGCAAAACGTCACTGAATTTATATTTTACTAGATGACCCGGTATACTTCGTTCATTTCAAAACCAAAATCAGCTGAATCAGCCCAGCCGTTTCGAGTTTCAGCGAAGAAATTAACAGCAATTAATTTATATATATATATATATAGAAGATTAAATATTATATCAGCCTTTGACCACTGTACCTAATTATTTTGAGGGAATTATTTATAATATTTAAAAATAAAAACAGCTACATTTATTAAGTACCATTAATCAGTAAAAAAGCATATTTCCAAAATGAAAATTGTGTCAATAGACGAAAACTTTCCTCACAAACATTTGCATGAAATTTTTTGATTTACATCACTAAATTTATGACGATCAAATTTCTTAAAAACAAATAAAATGACGACTTACAACGTAGAATTATTTTTAATTTCGACTAGATCAGTATGAATCGGGATAAATAACACTATTAACGCCTACAAAATTTATTCAGCAATTATGTGGTGCAACACAAAGAGCAACAGTTCATCGGTCTATTTTAGGCGTATTACCTTAGTTTCGAGTTCAAATTGCTATACATATTTTAATAGGTAAACTTTGCTTTTTAATGCATCTATTCCGAAATGTATAAAAACATACATTTATAATTCATTGTCGCTTAAGTAATACTTAATAAGTAATATTCTGCTTATATTGCAAATGTGAAAGTTTGCGAGTAGTTACTCTTTCACGTAAAAACAACTGACGGATTTTGAAAAATTTTTGTAATACTAAAGGGACCACCGAGCGAAGCCTCTAGGGAAAAGCTAGTATTATTAAGATAAATGGTACATTAACATTATCGGCGGCGTCCAGTGAGTGAAATATCAAGGTACCTTTTCTAAGCGTTTCTAACTTTGCTAGTTAAGTACTTATACTGATCAAGTAATGAATGACACTTACTCCACCTATCAAATAATTTCTACCGTTAATCGATAATTGACGAAGTTAAGATATTAACTTTTAATTTTTGCCAAAAATATTAACGGTTTTCTTAACTTCCGTTATGTTCGTTAAATGCCACTAATATGCCACTGATAGCATAGGTAGTTTAAACTGAAACATATTGAATTAAATTTCAAGATATTTTAAGGAATAGGGTATTTGACACTATTAAAAACTTTTTATTGAAAAAATGGAACCGACTTCAAATTAAAAAAAAAAGTTATTATCCATTTTTTTATCTTAAAAGCGGTTAATTTTTTTAAGAAACATTGAAGTTGGGCTGAGTTTTCTGTAGCTAATTAAATATTAACTGTCCGACTTCAATGTTCTATTAACCGCTTCTAAGATAAATATAATTTTCCCTTTTTTTTAAATTTAAAGTCTGTACCATTTTTTTATAAAAAAAAAATTATTACATGCATTTTAGTGATATTTTGAGTTTTGGGGTAACAAACATCACGCACACTTAATGCAAATTAAAGGCTTATGTGATTTTCTCTTAGATGCCTTTGCCAGATCTGGACCAAATTACGTTTAGCTTTAGCAAAATAACGTAAAAAAGCAACATTTTTAGGAATTATAATAAACGATGAAAACGCCCTTTAATTGATTATCGTCGCAACCGGTTCTTAACAGGTTCTGTTAACCGGCATGTGACGTCACACGTAAACAGGAATCTATCATGTCAAAACATTATTAGAGATACAAATTATTTTATGTGTCATCTACATCATGCAAATATACATATAGATACACATAGATCAATGTGTCGAAATCAAAAAAATGCAAATATAAACATATGTTACGCTCAAAGATCGGAATCGCTCATTGGGAAAAAAAAAGTTCATAATGCATTATGGCAATCGCAGAATAACCAATGCGCGATTTCGATCTTTGTGCGAACACATACCTATAAAACGTGTTAGCTAAAAAACTTCAATGCACGGCTATGAATAATATTTATTAAAAAAACTAACATCAGTCTGACATATGACTGACACTGACAAAGTTGAAATATTTATTCTTTGGAACTTCGCTCTGGAAATAATTACTTGTCAATTGTCAATAAATATTCTTGTGCTGGCGCAGAAGGAACAGAAAACTAATTTTAAATTCGATGTGAAAACTATTATAAACCCAAATTATTATGCCTAGTGGCCGTGCCGTATTGTTATTGAGGAGGTTGTCGACAGGTGATAGTAAATTGAAAAGTTTGAATTTAAGCCAAACCTCCACTACCAAGGAAATCCTTGTGAGTCCGGTTTGCAATCATCGAGATTTAGGTTTGCCAAAAAGGTATGTAAACATGTAATAAAAGTTTAATTCTATACTTAATTTAGAAAAATTGTAGCTGAAAAATACAAAAAAAAAACTATAAATTGGCAATAACTTGATCAATGTGACCTTGTTTTTGTTTACAACTAATCATGTTTACGCCTGGTAAGAGAAAGGAGCAACGTAATCATTGTAAATTAATGTAATTAGGCCTATGAACCCATAAAAGTGTCTGAATGCCAACTACAAGAACAAACAACCATAATGCTTGAATAAGTTTGTTAAAAATGCATTTATTTTGTTTAGAGTACCTGTAGATTATTGTAAAATTACAACATATATCTTATTCAATAAATATCTGATAATTATCCATAGTCATTGGCAATCATTTTTTATATACATAAATGAGTAAACTTTTGTTTTAAATAATAAAAATTATACAAAATAAAATTGTACAATGAAATCACATTTAACAACAAGTGAGTTGAAAATATAAATAAATTTATAAAAAATGATAAAAAGCGGAAACATATTTTTGTTTTTGTAGGTCCTTGCTATACAATCATTTTCTGTCAGAAAAACATATTTTATAGTTGCTTAAAGATGATTCCCTTTTAATAACAAGTCCTAAAATACAAGAAGAGTTTGTTTAGTGTTTTATAATTATAAAGGTACATCCCCAATTTAAGATATTAATCAAGATAATTATCACTCTGCACCCTGCTAAAAATGTAAAGTAATGTGAGAGAAAATAAAAATAAATTACAAATATTAGAATTGAAAAAACATATGACTTTGAAAGTTTATTTAGTATTTTGTTATGTTATAAATCTTAGGATATATAGGTTATACAATTATATATCTTCAGTGAAAAATGCTTAAAACTCAAATCCTAATTGATTTTTTAGCATTTGTATACTTTTATCACTTTTTTATTATGAAGATTGGTCAAATATAATAAACATATGATATAATTATCCTTTTAGCTGATGAAAATAATAGTGAAAACATTGTGAAATGGCTGCTCTATTACATGAAAACAAATTGATTAATAAAAAGTCTATTTCCTTTTGTGTAGCTATAAAATCATCTATGCAAAAAAAAATCCTTAGGGATGATATTTTTCTTTAATTTTTTCTTTATTTCAGTCTTTAATTTTAATAATATAATTTGAAAATCATTTTTTAATATTCCAATTAAACCCCAAAAAAGGATGGTTTAAATACATCAATATATCTGACACAGGTATCAAGTGCGGTTGTAACAGACAGATAGATAACCAAGGATCACTTAGCAGAGTGAATCCATCTACAATATAATTTCCAAAAAGTTCAAACCTTGTATTTTTCATCACAATCGAATTTTTGTTAAAAAAATTGAGTAAACAATTGATAAACTACAAAAGCGCAAAGAAGAAACTGAATTTCTGTTAACTGTGATGAAAAATCAATAATTTTTAATCGAGGCTAAGCTAGATAAGTTTTATCTTACTTTAGTTTACATAAAGTAATCAGGACTACTGATACTACTATTTTCCTTATTTATTTATAAGCACTGTATAGGAGTTATTATAATCATAAGCAACTATCTGTTTACAATACATATGAACAAAAAAGTATATATGTTGTGGGCCAATTGTTGAATTGGGCCCATCGAGATATGCCTGGTCATTGACATCTATCATCCACCATATCATTTAATGTTTAACATTTGATGATTTGCCAGACTATACTCAGGCCAATCAATTTTCTAGGATGATCAAACTAACTTACTGCCCATATCTGGATGTAATGAAATAAAATTAAGTTTTAATAATAATTATTTGACTGGTAAATAAAAAGTATAGTTGTTATAATTGTTTTTTTCTGTTTACTAAAAATTGTTCAGCTTCAAAATTATCTTAAATTTAAATAAAATCCAAGTACAATCTTAAGTACATAGTATCACATATTTCTTAATTATAATACTTTCACAGCTCAGTATCCGTTACCATTATATTAAGGTCAATCTGCCAAACTTTTAACCACACCAAATCGTGATTTTCCCCGGCCAAATCAAGAAATGGCGGTATATTGTGATATGTCTGGGCAGATCTCGGTCGTCCCAATTCAACGATTGGCCTATGACATATACACTGATACCATAATTTGTATATAGGTCTTCCACCTGTATATATATAAGGGATCATTCAAGTATTACGTAACACCATTTTGAAGATTTTTATACCCACTCTCCCTCCATGTAACCCGGTAATGTTTTACTGACCCCTCCTCCTCCATAATCGTTACGTAACACTCAAGTGGCCAATTGGTTTGCTAGCAATGAAAAATTGGTTGGCATTTGCACTGGCAAGTCAGCATGAGAGTTTTTATAATAGCTAGTGATGCAAATATCCCTCTTTTGAAGACATTACGGTATGCACGCACTTTCATAATACTTCATAAGACTGTAATAAAATTTCTAGATTCAACCACAGTCCAACACTACTCCGATTACATATCTTCACGCCACCGTGTTTTGAACAATAATGCCCCTAGAACTAGCTACCTTACAGCAAGACTAGTCAAATAAACATTTCTTATTAAGCCAAAACAACATCGTTTCCAGACAATTGAGGTTATTTTATTTTTGATAAATAAACCAACTTATTTAATGACACTCTCTGTAAATAGTTCTGTTCTATGAATAAAATTATTTCTTAATGAAAAATGCTTAAAAAATCCACTTTGCCCCTGGCACTGTGTGATGGGACTCGAACCCATGAACTTTCGCAATCCGGACGGCTGCTTTAACCACTGAGCTAACCAGGACCTAACAGGACTGACGAATTTTTCAAGCACTTGTTACTTTTTTGCTACTTCGAGCGTATTTTAGGGAAAAATTGTTTTTTTTAAGCATTTTTAATTACGAAATAACTGACACCTAACGGCCTATTCTATTTCTCCGAAAACGAAATCTAATCAATTTTCGAAATATTAATACGACTCCAAAGAAACTCAATATCGGATAATTTATAATGGAACGGAGGTGGGCTCTGACACTGTCTCTGATACACCGACAATCTTCGTGGATATGATTTTAACAAAATTATAAGAACGATTTTAAATTTCCTGGATTTTCGTTCGATGACAAATAGAATAGAGCCTCAGGTGTCATGTTAATTCATACGAGTAGTAATGATTAGGAGTGGGGGCTCGCTACGTTTTCAATATAAATAAATTTATAAAAAATGATGGTGACATTTTAAGACGATTTATCGCCGCAATTTATTGATTACGCAAAAAATAAAAATACGTGTTTAATATTCTCCAATAAACTACTCTATGGACAGGCAAAAAAATACCGATGATGCGTAACGCCTTGTACGAACACCCATCCCATCCCTGAAACGCATTATAACGTTTTACATGACCCCTCCCTCCCCCAAATTACGTTACGTAACACTTGAACGCCTCCTAATGGTCATTGTTTGGTATTATTATACATGTGTTCTTCAAAATGTTAAACAAATGCAAAAATACTAATGCGTAATTTTATAACTTTGCTACAGATTGACGTCTTTAGCTCACAACAGTCTTCCCCACACCCAGATCACTAGGAGCTTTAGTGATAACTTGATTAAAATGACAACGCCCACTTCTGATTCGAATTCAAACGAAACACCGATATATACAAACCAATTGATAAATGAAAAATCTCCATACCTACTTCAACATGCTCACAATCCAGTGCAATGGTATCCCTGGTGCCAAGAGGCGATTGACAAAGCTAAAGCAGAGAACAAATTAATCTTTCTGTCGGTCGGTTATTCCACTTGTCATTGGTGTCATGTTATGGAAAAAGAATCATTTGAAAATGAAGAAGTAGCAAAAATAATGAATGAACATTTTATTAACATTAAAGTTGATCGAGAAGAAAGACCCGATATTGATCGTATCTATATGCTATTTGTTACGGCCACCTCGGGTAGTGGTGGATGGCCAATGTCAGTTTTCTTAACTCCAGAATTACGTCCAGTAACAGGCGGGACCTATTTTCCTCCAGAAGATCGTTGGGGACGTCCAGGCTTCAAATCAATCTTACTTACATTAGCAAAAAAATGGAAACAGGATAAGGAACGGCTTGTAGAAGCTGGCACAAATATTATTGAAGCACTTCGTAAAATCTCTTTTGTTGAATCTGAACAATCAGCTACTGTTCCTGGAGATGAAGCTTGGAATAAGTGTGTTCGTAGATTCATGGCAAACTATGAACCTGAATTTGGTGGATTTGGAACTGCACCCAAATTTCCACAAGCTTCAATATTTAATTTCTTGTTTCACTACTATGCTCGTGATAAATCTAACCCTGATGGAAAAAAGTGCTTAGAAATGTGTCTTCATACATTAACTAAAATTGCCAAAGGAGGCATACATGATCATGTATCCAGTGGTTTTGCTCGTTATTCAGTTGATAATGACTGGCATGTACCTCATTTTGAGAAAATGTTATATGACCAAGCTCAATTGATTGTAGCATATACAGATGCTTATCTTGCAACGAAGGAGGAATTTTATGCAGATGTAGTCCGGGATATTGTAAAATATGTGAATAGAGATCTTAGGCATGAGTCTAAGGGCTACTACAGTGCTGAGGATGCAGACTCATATCCAACTTTTGATGCGCCTCATAAAAAAGAGGGTGCATTTTGTGTTTGGGAATATGAGGAATTAAAGTCGCTTCTTGAAGGCAAAAATATCAATAATATTCCTTATTTAGATATATTCTGTGATTACTTCGGTGTTGAAGAAGATGGAAATATATCTCCAAGCAGTGATCCCCATGAGGAACTTACACGTAAAAACGTGCTGATTATTTATGGCAGTGAAGAAGAGTCTGCAGAAAAATTCGGACTAACTGGGGAACAATTTAAGCAAGTGATATCTGAATGCATTGGTATACTATATGAAGCCCGTCAGAAGAGACCTCGACCTCATTTGGATACTAAAATATTATGCTCATGGAATGGTTTGATGATAGCCGGACTTTCTGAAGCAGGGCAAGCCTTAGGAGAAAAACAGTTTGTAGAAGATGCTATTCATACAGCAGAATTTGTAAAGAACAACTTGTATGATGCAACAAAAAAAATATTGCTGCATTCTTGTTACAAAGCTGATGATGGATCAATTGCCCAATCGTAAGTTTCAGTCGTTTTATTTTTTTAAAGACATATGCTACAAATTTAAACATTATCTTTTCTTTCACCTTTTCAGTGAGCAACCTATAAAAGGATTCTTGGATGACTATGCATTTTTAATCAAAGGTTTGCTAGACCTTTACGAAGCGTCTCTAGACCTGAGGTGGCTGAATTGGGCTCGCGAATTGCAGCAAACTCAAAATAACTTGTTCTGGGATTCCGAAAATGGAGGTTACTTTACATGCTCAACAGAAGACAGCACTGTCGTTTTACGCTTAAAAGAAGGTAAGCAGCAATCATAATATTATTATTTCAAACTGTAATTTCATTCCATTCCCTAAATTCTCATTATTATTAGGCCTTTTCATTTAATATGAATCAAGGATTTTATGAAGTACTTCATAATAAATCAATACTAATATAGTATTATAAATAGGAAAGTGTGTTTGTTTGTTTACCTTTTTTCACGTCGCAATCGAGCATCATTATGTCATGATTTTATCTGAAGATATAGTTGAGTTGGGAGGCTTGAGACTATCATTAATATATGGCATTTTATGTCGAAAATCACTTTGAATATCTATCTCTCATTTATGATTAGCATATGCAACTTTACATTAAAAGAGGCATGTTGCCCTAGTTTAGAAGAATATGAGTCTATTAACATAATTTCTTTTTAACAGATCAAGATGGCGCAGAGCCATCTGGGAATAGCATATCGTGTCACAATTTACAGCGCTTAGCTGCATACGCCGACAAGAGTGCTGCTCCAGAAGGCGGCGATCAAGAGAGAGAGATGGCTAGAGTCTGGCAAGCGAAACGTGTCACAAGAAAAGGGCGGCAATTTCAAAATTCTTAAGCAGTAAACACTGAATGTAGTACTGCAAAATAATTTTGATACTTTTATTAATTATATTTAATCTTAACATTTAGATATCAATTAAATTATTTGTTTTGGAACATTTGACTAAAGCGTGACTGTTCTTAATTGTACAGTTAACAGCATATCAGTAGGCCTATTCACTAACTCAACTGACAACCAAGAATCGTCATCACCGTAAAAAATAGACACTTTGATTGTGTCAAAATCACTATTTCGTATTCTCTATCAATGATGAGCAATTTCGAAATGTCAATATCGGCATTCTCCACTGGACTCCATTTTGACACTTGATTTCGTATCGATAAACTGTATTAAAGTAACATTGTTGCAAAGCATATTTGAAGTCGTCGCATAGTACCTCTTAAGCCATTTGTTGTTAAATTAAAGCGAAAAAAAATACGTATCCAATATTTTTCTATTATCTGACTGACGGACTAAATCGAATCTTTTTTTTAACCCATTCGTTATACCTATTGGCTAACAGCACTTATAATATTAAAAATTCATATTTGTCATTAATTAAAAGGGTGTTTTTGCAACGACTTCTTTGTTTTTTTGTAATGAATATGGGCGACTCTGGCCACATTTTTTTAATAAATGTGATGTTAGCCAATTTTGATTTCTGGCCCTTATATTTATAATGTGTTCATAACACATACATGTCTCCTAAGGGATTTTCATCACAACCTTTTGCTCTGATCCAGAACCACTATCTATCAAATTAAATTAGTCAATATAAACACCAGATTACAATAAAAAAAAACATTTATTTTTGTTACAATTAAGTGCCATGGATAAATTTACATAATACAGGTGTCACAAAATCATCATGTTAATCACAATAGAAAATTTAAGATAAGATTTTGACTATGAATCAGACTAAAAATACTTTAGTCTGATTCATAGTCAAAATCTGTTTCTAAATATTCTACACCTGATAACAATGACAAGGAATCATCAGAGTCACTCTCTTCACTACTGTCTGCACCAACAGATATAATAAATTTTTCAAGTTCGTTTTCAACAATGCCATCTTTTAATTTGTAATCATTTTCGACATTTAAAACATGATCAGTGTATTTCTTCCAGTCACTAGGGGTAATTAAGTTAAAACACTCTATTATTAAGTTTTCCATTTCCTTTCCTGGTATTCCAATGTTTCTGCTTGCAATTTTTCTTTTTGCTTGACTCCAAACCATCTCTATTGGGTTTAAGTCACATGATACGGTGGCAGCAATAAAAGTTCATGATTATGTTCTTTTAAAATCTCTTCAGCTTCATATACAGGCAATGTTTTCTTATCATTAACCAAACACATTAACTCTGCCTTTGTCTGATATTCCTCAAAATGTATTCCATTATTTACAAGCCATTTACGGATATCTGCTTTGGTATTAGACATTATAGGCGGTTTATTGATTTGTTTTATATGGTAGCTGGCATTATCCATAACAATTACACTGGGCTTACTTAAATTTGGTATTAATTTTTCTCTGACCCATTTCATAAAGTTCGATGAGTTCATATCATCATGATAATCAGCAGATTTGGATTTACTACTGAACACTAATAATGCACCAGGCACAAAACCTTCCTCAGATCCAGCATGCACAACAATATGCCGTTTTCCAGAGGATATCTTTGTAGTGACACCAGTTGTTGAAGGTCCTTGCCAAGACTTTTTAACTTTATAATTCTGATGTACATAAGTTTCATCAAGGTACACAATTTGCTTTCCTTCGTTTCGTTTTATATTTATTTCTCTCAAATACTTGTGCCTCCATGCAGAAATCTGGTATTTTTCTATAAGCATAGAACGTTCATTTTCATTGCTTTTAAAAGAAAATCCATTCTTAAGCATAATTTTTCGTAAAGTCTCACGGCTACCACTGAATCCTATTGCATCTTTTAATTCATTGTGAAGGCTTCTTAATGTTGGAACAATTTTTTTCACACAGTAAAATTCATTTACTTTATTCCGAATTGCACTTAAATCAAAATTTATCTAAAGCAGACACTGTTGGTTGATGAGGTCGTTTTTTCCCAGGAGTGTCCCATTTTCCTTTATTAATTAATGCTTCATTTTTTATCCTTCTTAGTGTCCTTATACTTACATCTATAAAAGATTAAACACTTTGAAACAAAGATATGTTAAATGTATTTAAAAGCAAATATGATAGACACATACATCAAAATAATTTAAATACCTATTCAACTATGAATGCAATTTATGTTTAATTTAGTTAAGTTTATGTGCATATTTAGCATGTATAACAATTACATGGTTTGATTAGTTTCATGAATTCTGTGAATTTCCTTGTTAAACAAAACATTCTTATGACATCATTGGATGTCAACAATAAAAACCAATACATCATAAAAAACCTATGTAAATATTATAGGAATACTATCAATCTATCTTAAATCAAAACAAGAAAAGAGACCTGTCATTGAAGAAATTTTTTGTAAGTACTGCGTTTCCGAATTCAGCATTTCTTGTTTTTCTAAAGTTTTTATTGCATTTATCTCCTCCATTATTGGTTGAATATCACCATCACAGTTATCTGAAATAGAGCAATATTTTATAAAAAATATCTGTTTAGTTAATTACAGAAAATTAAAACGAAAGTATCAAAATTATAATACAAAACTAACCTAAAAAAGATACAACTTTATCTAATCGTTGTAATTTCTCCATGAAATTTTATTTAATTCAGTTTTCACTTCAGTAAACTTGTCAATCATGATGGAAAGAAGTTTCCTCGATGAACTTTTTATCGGCTTCGACATAATTTTTAACCAAAAACACAAGTTCAAATTCGCAAAAACAACAAAATTCAATATTCTTGAATTGTCTAACGTAGTGTCAAACTGACAGTTCTATGTTGTTGCCATATGAAAACGGAAAAATAGGTGGTGTCACGTTTCGCTTGCCAAACTCTAAGAAGATACTACTAGCGTTTTCTAAACGGCTTAAAGAATCGCCCACTGCACTACCCGAAATGATGTCAGCTCTTATGTTCTACAACGACTCGCCTACTCAGGTAAATTTATAATAATTATTAATTCGTCACTGAATAGTGAATGAATATCATAGTTAGCTTCACCTCTTTTTGGCCTACGGCATTTAAAAGAGAAGGGGCGAATATCAAGCTTAAATGTTTTGAGATACGGTTATGGATATTTGCGTTTTATATTCAGGTAGTTATGAGAAAAAGGATAAACTTATAGCTTGAGATATCGATACGATATGATATAGTAACTCATATCGGTTTTCAGATACCTTTTGATATATCGAACTCATACCTGCGGTAGTAGCATCCAGTGAGGTTCCAAATGTGATTATAAGTATTCAACTTGCACGGTAGAGTTATGTAAACGATGACTAATCGACCTATTGTCGTCATAAAGATAACGGGCAGACTATATTAAAATAATGTGACATTAATTTGATCTATCATGTTTTTGTACTGTAATCTTTGACATTAATTGCATGTTATTAATAAGAATAATCCAATAAATGTGTTAGTTAAATTAAACATATATCCCGTGTGGTATTATTATTACAATGTTTTAAGAAGAGGGCGCATACACCAAACATTACTTTTGTTCTATATTTCAATTGGTTTTGTATCAACAAATAACTTTAAAATAAACTGCAACTAAAAATGAGGAAACTATCGTATTTCTAATAGTTTAGTTATAATGAAAATGAGAAGGGGTGATAAGTGGGTAATTATTTTTTTCCTGACCGTCACGTAGATTATTGAAGAATATTTAACACATTTTTTTTTAGTAACTAATAGAGTACGGGATACATTGCGTTGAAATGTCGCATGACGTCACTCCTTTGTCTATGTTCTACGTACTTTGTGATGTAGCGAGCCCCGTTCCTCAACTTTAATGTATTTTATTATTAAATTGAAGCAAGAAAAAATACGTATCTAATATTTTATATATTTCATAAATACGTATCTATTATCTGACTGACGGACTAAATAGAATTTCTTTTTTTACCCAGATCCTTGGGGCCGTCCATTAATCACGTGAGGCTCGAAAGGGGGGGGGGAGAGATTCATCAAAAATCACGAAATATCACAAGGGGGGTGGGGGGTGTAATAATATATCACGCGCGATTATTAAACCGAAAAGCGATGTCAAAAATTAAGATTTTTTGTCTTTTTTTTTTAAATACACGTGATTTGGTTGAAGGAGGTAGGGGTTGGTCTTAAACCTCACCATGTATTACCAAGGGCGAGGGGGGGGGTCAAAAAATGTTGCAAAAAAACATCACGTGATTAATGGACGGCCCCTTTTCATAATTTTTTTTCGATAGATAATAAAACATAAATTTGCCCCTAAAACGATCATTTTTTTCGATTATACTGTTTTAAAAGCTTATCATGTGTCTTATGCGCAATATAACATAAAATATTCATCAACACTCACAATCTTCTTTTGATAACCTTTTATTTTTTTTGCAATTTATATCTTTCCTATTTATAATACCTAATGTTAAAAACTAACCGATCCACATTTAATGTATGTGCTAAAGTATAATAAGTTTACATCTTAGGTACAATTCATAATTGGAAACGCAGTTTGGACAGGACTAAACCTAAATTTCGTCTAGCTTGTGCAACAGAATTATATTTTTTCGTTCAGTGTACCTGCATGCCTATTCGGTAACTTAACTGACAGCTTAAAGTCGTAATCACCGTAAAAAGTGTACAATTCAAATGTGTCAAAATCACTTATTCGTATGACCACTTGTCCACAAACCTCTGTGGACAATTTATTTCGGTTGTCCTCGGTATTACAGAATAAGGGGGCTGGAGAGCGACTGTCTAACTCTCTCATAGCTATAAAAACTTTTTGATTGATTTGATTTTAATAATGAATATGTTTATATTCCTTTATAATGCTCCTGCTTTATTTTTAATATACTTAATCAATGTGTTTGGTTGATGTAGTTTTCTGAATTATATAAGTTTAACTAAATAAAAATATGCTCAAAACAAGTCGAATTTATGCAGATAATGTTTCCTTGATAATTAAACTAAACTATTTCCTGAATATTATAAAAAATAAAAATACATCATCATATAAGAATGTCAACGTCTGAAATTTGATAATACATATAATAAAAATACCAAAACATTAAATTAAAACGTTCTTAGAACTCAAACACGTGGCGTATTTTAAACGAGCAGGCGACGCGCTGAAGATACGCGTATACGAGCTTCTAACGAGATTTGAACATCAGGTTGTAACCTAAGCACACAGAAGAATCGTGAAACGTGCGTCTACTGCGCGTATACGTGCAATTAAAAATATCATTGCAACTGTGGCGCGGACGTTGTGATATAGTGTTAGTGCGCGCCCCTGCGCTGGTCCTTTCTACGCGCATCAAAAGAGTTTAAGGCCCCAAACATATGGCGTATTTTAAACGCGCAGACGACGCGCATATTCACGCAAATGAGATTTGAACGCAACCTAACCTAAGCGGGGTAATCGTGAAACGTGCGTCTACTGCGCGTATATGAGCCGATACAGCGATACAAACACGCAGCTCCTCTTCTGGCCCTTTTTAAGCGCATCAAACGTACTTTACATGTGCGTTTGTATCGCGTTTTACGCGCGTTCGAAACTCAGCATCTACGGCATAGAAACGCGCGTCGTCTGCGCGTTTAAAATACGCAATTACGCAATTAGGCGGTCGCTATCGCTAAAATAATTATCAAATTCTGATTGATTTAAATACTGTCTTATATGAATCAACTAAGAAAAGCGAGTGCCAACAAAGAGTGACTTTGTTAAATCCACACAAACTTATCAAATTCACTTTTCTATTGCGAGAATATTGTTTGAATATTGTTATGAAAAAGATTAATTCAACCAACATGTTGGTCGATATTAATATGAAACACGCCCATCATCTTCATAGGTGCCCGAATAGTTTTAAGTCTGCAAACTAGATGGCGTTGTTCATTTAATGCATCGCGGTATCAGTTTATATCGTTAGATTGTATAAGTAATATGCCGTTTAAACTAAACTTAATATGGGATTCGAAACCAACCATTCCAGTTATTTACTTTAGCTCTTTGGTTAGGCTCTGAGCTGTGGTCCGAGTTTAAAATCTGATTCGCTTTGGACCAAAAGTTCAGAATGATCAAACGGCTAAAGTGGTTGGTTGTCTTGGTTGAATTACCATTGGTAAATCGATTAATATAATCATATCTCATGCTTAAATTGACCAATCTTTTGGTAGAATTAACTTCGGTAAATTGTTTGAAACAACCAAGTGTCATATTAATATCGACCAACATGTTGGTTGAATTAACTTCGGTAAATTGGTTAGTACAACGATGTTTCATGCTTATATTGACTAACCTATCGGTTGAAAGAACTACGGTAAATTGGCAAGTACATATTTCATGGTTAAATTGACCAACTCTTTGGTCAAATTAACTTTCGTAAATTGATTAGTTTAGCCACGTTTCATGTTAATTTTTACCAACCTCTTGGTTGAATCAACTGTGGTAAATTGTTCATACAGTCACATATCATAGACATATCGACTACGATCTTATTTAAATTGAAGACTAGGAGGTAGTTGCTATAGTTATTTATAATGATCAAATTGAATGAAATCTTAACTATCTTAACAAAGTAACTATAGTAAAAATAATAAAAACCATCTTATTTAATGTATCTAACATCTTGTCAGGCTCATTATACTTTTTAATTATGTGATAAAATTTTTGTCCTGTGTATTTTCCTAACACATGTGTTTGATAGCTGGTGTACATTACTGTGTAGCAATGATTGTATATTTTGTTAACGCAGGTGTTGATAGCTGGTGGGTGTACTGATCCTCGTACATTGGAGTTGGTACGTGTGGTGAGATCTCGCCTCCTGCCAGGCCGCGTACTCGCCGTAGCGGACCCCGCCGCGGAGACGCCCGCCGGTATGTCAGATATACGTGAGTCGCCTTGTATTGATGCACTTGCACTATACGACATCTCGAACGAGATGTGGCGATATAAGGCTTCGCTCAAACCGAACGTAAAGTCAGCAGGCTCACTGTGAACCCTAGTGTAAGCTTAAACTGTATTATACAATCACAATGTGCTTGCAATAAGCCAGTGGTGTAAATTAGTGATGTTCCGGATAGCCGAGGGAGAATCTGTTACGTATCTCGCGGATTTACAGACATTTACAGATCTATTACCTTATTAATTTTCATTAATACTATTCTATTACCAAATTCAAAATTTTCTTTAAGTTTAGACAATAGTTATGATTCTTACTTGTTATGAGTATCGGCTAGCATAGTCTTGCGATCACTTATCGCACGACCAACACAGTATCACTAACCATTAGGCATTTCGATGTATTTCCTGTATGTTTAATACATTTTTAAAAGCGTAATGGTTACAGTCGGCCTTAATTACTTGATTCAATTTTAGCAAAACATTACCTATATTATAAGTTATTGGAATCGAATCAATATCTGATTTTAAACAAACTTCTTTCAGGATGTGCGTTAATTATGTTACACATTGTATATTTCTTGTATAAACGATGTGTTGTCAATTAAATAAATGTCTTATATGTCTCTGCGGATATACTCTTAACGATCTGGCACATCACTACTGTGAATATAACAGTGGGCTTGTATACATTCACAGTTAAGCGTCATCTGGATAACATCTGGATAACCAGATCCAATATTGTATTAACTGCAGCTACGTATGCATAGCGTGGTAACTTCAGTTGTTGTCCTTTTGGCGTGTATGAAAAGATCATTATGTACACATACGGCAATACAATAGTATTTCCGTACGTTACACTCGCTCACAGCCGGCGGCTGACAATACGTTTTGTTTGAACACAGCCTAATACTTTAGATAATATTACTAGCACCCTTTCTTTTGATATTAGTTAGGAGTAAAATCTATAAAGTTAAGCCGTTTATTATTAACACGGTTCTTCCTCACACATAAAATATAGGAAGAATGCGCCATTACCTTCTATACGGGCCCAATGTGGATTGGTGGATGCTATTGACTGCAGATGCAATAAGGGCCAACGTTCTTTCCCATACAGGGATGAGTTCAAAATAAAAATCCATTAACCGGCTTTTGCGAAAGTTTCTTAATATTATGCAATTGCAGATCGATGTGCTAACCACTGTACTCGGCTCCTCGGGTTTTATTATAAAGAAACTTAATAATGTTGAGAGAGAGATAGAGAGTTAACGTTTATTGATGGATAACTGGATGGATGGATATTTGATGTAGTAGCTCGATGGCGTAGTGGATAAGCGCCGTGGTCCGCGATCGTTGTCGTTAAGCAACTTTCGCAGGGGTCGGTCACGAGATGGGTGACCAAAAATTATTATCTCGAGCTACTCCGTGCCTCGGAAGGCACATTAAGCCGTTGGTCCCGGCTGCATTTGCAGTCGTTAATATCCTCCAATCCGCATCGTGCCAGCGTGGAGGGTCATGGCCCATCCTCCTTAACCATCCGTAAGGAAGGCCTGAGCCCCTGCAGTGGGGACCTAAAAGGGCTGGTAATGTGTAATGTGATGGATATCGTTCACGTTACGAATTAATTGTCTACTTATACCCAACTCTAATCGCTTATTATATTTGTCTGATGCCATCCTTTTGGAACTGTTTCATAGTGTGTCATTTCACTAATAAAACCTCTTTTAGTGTTAAAGCGGTTAAAATTACTTTTACTAGTCTAACCCATGTTGTATAAACCCGGACTTTCACCGGCTCAGCTAACAGTTTCTTGAGATAAGAACCGCTAAAGTGCTAAAAATACAAAGCCCATTTTAAACAATACAAGACTCCTTTTTAAGGTATTGAGTTATATTTGTGTTATAAGAAAGGAGAGATTGAATTTGCATAATTTAGAATGAGTTTTAAAGAATCATCTGACGTCTGGCCCTGCCGATATTATCGAATTACGTAATTAGACTATTTTATCGGCACATCATACGACATCTGTGCTGATATGACGTCATGAGACCTCTAGTGAGAGATAAAATGGGGACTATTATTTTGATGCTTTTGTTAAGAGGTTAATTTTACAACGTTTGAAGACTCTAAATTAAAATTTTATCGGTAAAAGTTATTACACTCGAATGTAGCCAATCTTGTCGGTGATTTAAGTAAACATGTTCACACACGGTACAAATTTATATGAATGTTTGCTGATAACTCCAAAAGAGGTCGCTTCTATAGGTGGCTTATGAAATAAATTCGAGTTGCCTGAAAAAGGTTCAAATACTAAGGTATAAGGAAAGACTAAGATGCAGATGCAAATCTAACGAAAGGTCTAAGAAGATCTTGCGGAAGTATGTCTTAGTACGCTACTGATCTTCCGTTTAATGTGCAAGACTAAACGTCATATATTGGACGGTACTGAAGTTCGACAAACGTGATACTGCGCATTTTCCGTCAAATATACACCGAATGACAGTTATACACATGAACCTAAAATATCGTTATTGGGTATTCTACCTTGAATGTAAAAATAGTTGTAACCGTGACAACGCTGTCCACCATATTCATGAGATCATTCGCACAGGTACAGCTTCTAAGATATCAATCAGATAACAGCGCCTTCTAACGATCTTGATACAAAATAAAATTTATTTCAAATTCTTCAATGATAGAACATTTTATTGTTCATGAAAATATAAACTATAAATGTATCAATAGTATTAAAAACAACTAATAAAACTAGACTATTATCACGCACTTCTGTCTTCTGTATCGGGTAAAGGACGAATTCACTTTTCGTCAAATGAAAGGACCTCTGCCGCCAATGTTCTTTATCATTAGAATACTTCAACTGGATAGTGAACTATGGTCTGGCAATTACAGTTCAAGCTGCGCAGTCGTCCGCCAGTAATACCGACATACGTGAGTTTTAGTGCTCGTAGAGTAACTAACGTGTCACATCATCATGATCTATTTCAGTGGTTCCTAACCTTTATGGTTGTTTATATTATGAATGTGGCTCTATGATATAACAGTGGCCTAATTGTCGAATTTTAAAATCTATATAAGGTGAGATAGTGATTTGTGGAATTCTGTAACATTTAAAGTCATAAGTGCTTTTGAAATGAATGATGATTTGAACGATATAATGGTCAAAAACAATTTATTTCGATTGGCATTTCCCAATAGCTTTTAAAGACATTTGTCTATCACTTTTCTTTGACAATTCCAATTAACGTCAGAGAATAACGTCGTTGTCTTTCATTACATAATTTGCAGAAACGTCACGCTCGCAATGAGGAAGTATTTAAAAAAAAAGAAAGCACCAAAAAAGCACCTCCACTAGATGGCAACTCTAGCAAAAGTTTATTTTTGCAGGAAACGAATGGACCAAAGTTAAAAGGAACGGAAATGACTCTCATTTCCGTTCCTTTTAACTAACATATTAAAAAACTGAAATTTGCAAAGTTCGAAACTTAGATATCAACACAAATTAGAAAAATTTCAAACTGAATATGAGTTGTTTATTGAGTTTTGAAAACTAATTTATAGATGAAAGAAAACCGGTAGTGCTGTCATATAGAAATCAAGAAAGTACTGTAGCGACATCTAGTTTAATTTCGGGAACTAATGTTTTTTTTAATACTTCCTCATTGCTGTCACATGTAGTAGTTGTAGCGTGAATTTCGTTAATATCTTTCAGATGTCAAATTCAAAGTGTTTCTGATAGATATTAAAATTAGACAAGTAGGCCACTGGTTTTACTCACCATCCAATACCCTAGGCACAGTTTGGAATTGCAGAACATCCTAAAAGATATCTCTAGATACGCTCATCATACTGTCGTATGATTTTCACCTAAGCACGTCTTAGATTGTTATATGTTATTCTTTATTTTTGTTCTCAATTATTAGGTTCTTTGTTACCCCCACATAGAATAGCTGATTTACCCCCGCGGGGTAATTATCCTCCGGTTAGGAACCACCGGTCTATTTGTTTCACAGCGACAGATGTAAACACATTTTAGTATGGGCATAGACATAGTCTTGATATCCTATTGTCTATGTCATTTTGTATTTTTTATATGTAGTTATCACAATGTATTGGTGCTTGTAGTACCATCTTTTTTGTTGTTTTCAATTACACGACAATTTTAGTCACTTAAGTATTAAAGCCACTCAACTTTTACTACAAATTTTAAATGTAAATATGATTTAAAATCAATTGTAGAAATTTTTAAATTTTAGATTTTCTAATGCGATTATGTCGTCTAATCCTTAATGATCTCTGAAATATTCTAGCAAGAACAATAAATAGATTTAAGTCTGGAATGATGACGAATTAGTTGTGTTCTTTAAATAAAAATGGATCGTTTATTCTTCCCATAATTGCATCAGCTCCATGTAAACCCACCATGTGCGCACCGTCATTATGCTGCTGTCGCAGCAATATCGATGCTGCAAATGAAAATCTTCAATACTTAATATTTTAAAACAAAATTTTCATTGTCATTGTTTTTTTATAACTGCTGTTTGTTATATTGAAGTGTGTTGCTGTGTTTTACTACATTCATCGATTTGTTTGTTTTTTGAGAGCCTGACAAGTTTATTTTTTAGATTTTATTAATTCAATGCCTGTGTGGAGTTATTGTATAGTTTAAGGGACAGAATGGAAAAGGGCATTAAGAATGCAAAAGCTTTGATTAAAATTTGTAGAACATTGAATTATTTTTAATAGGTGTGTTATACAATTAATGCTCATATACTTTTTTCGATTATATAATTGGCATGTATTAGCTATTTTTGGTTCTAAGTAAAATTCTTTCGATAATAGTTAACAAATAAAGTAAATTAATTATGTTATAGCTTTTAAAATTACGTGATGTTTCAGACCGTATGTCTTATCTTGCCTTAGCCACTATTAGCACTCCCAAACCTTTTAAAAATAACGTCTATCAAAGTGTCGTAAATTATCAGAGTTGGTCAGAAAGCTAGAAAGAATGCTTATCTAAAACGAATCTGACTATACCAGAAATTAATACCATTTAAAGATTGCCAATAAATTAAACTAATGCGTGTGTATTCGCAAACAATAGATATTGCCTATCCAAAAACGACATTCACGCACTCTAGTATCATGGTGTCGCTATCATTGCGGCCCGGGTTCGTTCCCGATCGAGTCATTTTAGAAAACATTTTTTTCTATATTATCACTGGTTTGAATGACTACATAAGCTGTTTGCTTTAGCTACTCATCTTGGAATCTGAGCAATGTATGGTACATTGTGTAATATTTATTTATATTTTGGTGTACTCATTCACAGTGTTGAGCCGAATTAGGAGCGCGGGAGACACACCGACCGCTTACGTGTGCAGGAGGTATGCATGTTCTTTGCCTGTAACCGATGTGAAACAACTGGAAACTTTACTGGACGAGGCGCCAGTTCAACCGCCCAAGAAGACTTAAACCATTCAAAATTAAAGTTCATCATCCATTTATAAAAATATTTAGGCTCTGTGCAAATCTGACGGAATACGTTAAGCGTCTCACAGAAGGAACAGGCGAACGTGCGATGTGGTTGATTCATAGATTTCTAAGTTACTTACTAGACAAGGTGTTCTTCGGTCAATTCTGCTATTGTTTACGAATCTCAACTACTTACAATTTGCCATTGTACTATTTACATGAAGTCTAATATTATTATATATCTGTCACCATTGATGTGTAAGGAAGACATTGCACTAATAATATTTGACTTAAGGTAGATAATACAATGGTAAAACGCAAGTCGTTCAGATCCTATTGACATGTGATTATTAGGTAAACATTAATAGAATTGCTCAACTAAAGTGTGCGTATTTCTTCTCTCGCTTCCTAATAGTAAGCGAGATGGCAATACAGTCGACTAAGTGATGTGTTGTGGTGACACAATCTTTTAACGAGTAGGTAATATTTAGATACCGAACAATTTGTCTAGGAAGTAGAATACATAGATGTCTTCGGGTTAAACGTGGTTTCATATATTTGTACGTTCTGTTTGTGACGTCTTTCGTTAGATAGGCATGGATACTAAAACTGTCTAAACTAAAGCAAAATTATTATAGACAAATGAATTGATGATTCTCGGCCTTATTCTCTTTGGAGATATAAGTCATATTTGGTTTATTGCACTTGATAAGTTACAAATAATTTTGAATCTCCAAACCAGTCATGTAACACAGTTAAACGTAAACCCAACCAGTTTCAGCTCTACACAATGAACATTCAAAATAATAGAAGTTTGTGCAATTTATATTTGTATTCCATATTGTTATTTATTTTAGTCATTATTATCTTGTCAATTAAATGATTTATATAATAAATCTACCCTTAATGCTTCGTAGTCATAAATTGAAGTAGTAGTTTAGTGTATTTTTAATTTGTAGTTACATATTGTCTTTTACGCACAAATTTGGACAATAATTATGAACGGTAAATTAAATTTTCAATTACGATTTACAGTAATTACTTTTAGTGATAAAAAATAACACAATATATTATAACCCAGTATATAGAAATTAATATGAATAATTAAATGTACCAGTTTCCCTTTAAATGTTCATATGGCAAATACATACATAAATACTATTGAAAATTAGACCTTAAATTCAGAACAATTTAGTTCACTGAGCAATCGTAGTGTAAAGTTGTGTTATTGCATATATAGTTGGATCAAAAATTTGTAGTCACGTCAGACTATACAAAACTGTCACATTTCTCCACTTGATTTTAAGCCTTAATACATTTTAGGTAGAATTCAGAATCAATTGAGGAAATTCGACATATTGTGGTAGCCTGACATGCAGCGTGTGTACTTTAAAAATAAGCTGAATAACGAAAATTATGGTAGTTATATTTTCACAGTCGAATTATAAAAAGAAATGCTAATGTGTTTTGCCACTTTAGGCGAATGTATTAAAAGTCGTAAAATGTATATGTTATGGACCAAGTGATAAATTGGGCATCATACATAATGCCCGGTGAATAGAAAAAGGCCCAATATAAGAGAGTAATTTGATAATAATCGTTCAAATAATCAAATTGACCGGGCATAATACATATTGTTCATTGCTTTTTAGTCAGATTAATACAAACATATTTAATTATGGCCACGTTAATCACCTGGTCCATAACATATATAACATATTGTATACCAGTATTTGTCAAAAATTTGCAAATGTGTGAGAAAAACAAATGCTCAAACTCAGGGTTCCGTACCAAATGTTAATACGTAAAATGTTCATCAGTTTACACGTAAAATCAAATTCATTAATAGAACTTAAAACTTTTGTAATATACTATTATTTGTATATAAAATATAAATGACAAGTAGATACATATTTAAAAATATTCGTGACATAAAATATTTAAAATTATCTTATCAATACAATTATGAAAAAGAAGTGCTTTGCTATCCTGTACGAAAACAGCGTCGAGAACAACGCTGTTACATTATTGAGTTCCAATAAATAAAACATACTTCAAAGGGTAATTAAGGTTTTATTGAATCAAAAGTATACTGCTACATCTTTGTTCCTTGCTTTTTTTCAGAATAACTTTAATTGTTTTGCATTCATGTGATAACAAAAAATAATTAAATACGCTCTAAAAATGACAACCCACATCCAGGACTTACACCCGTTATTACTAACCTAGAAAAAGGCATTGCTTAACCAGGAAAAGCCTAATCTTATAAATCTTCTAAACAAAACAGATTAATTTAATTCAATATTAACATTTTTTCTTTTATGTCTTGGCACATTTGTAATCTGATTACACAAATGCCTAGCGCAAAGCGCCGCATAACGCAAGTCATAAACTTTGGCATTGTTTAACCTCGTTAGGTCGTAGTCATTGGTGAAATGCATTTTCCGCTTCCCATTTTGTACGGAACCCCGGTCCAAAAAATTTAAAATTTAGTCTGAATAGTATGTGATAAGTTGCAATATCTGTACCAGATTGGAAATTACATATTTTGTTATTGAATATACTCATTGTCAAATATTTGTATAAGTTTGTCATAAAATGACTAAAATTGATGAATAGCGGATCTGTTTGCCGCTTTATATTTATTAACAGTTTTCGTGTTATAGCATCTCATTGCTTTAAGCAAATTAGTTGTGATATTTTAAAAATAAATGTTATTAAAAATGTGTGATATTGTTTCTGTATCTCCCTATATATATATGCGAAAATACCTCTGTGTGTGTCTGTTACGTTTTCACCCTTTAGCTACTGAAAGAAAAAACGAATTCCACACTGGCGAAGCCTCGGCAGGAGAGCTGTACTAGATTAGTATACAATATTTAAAATATAAGTAGATAAGTATCATCAACGGAAAGGTCTAATCGTTACCCAAAAAGAAATCATAGATGCTTTGATTTCTTTTTTCGTATAATGTTCTGGAATCGTATTTCTTCAACGTAGAGCCATTGGCTGTTTATAGAATCAGCATAACATAATATGTTATGCTGATTTCTATTTTGAGTTTGTATACCCTATATATTTACAACGAATACACTTTTCGTTTTTAGGATAATCAACTAATATCCACGTTCCCTTTTTAATCAAGCATTATATTATATTGGCTATGTGAGATTAATATAATGCTTGATTAAAAAGGGAACGTGGATATTAGTTGATTATCCTAAAAACGAAAAGTGTATTCGTTGTAAATATATTGGGTATACAAACTCAAAATAGATGCTCTAGGAGATATATTTAAATATGCATGTTTAATTGCGAAAGGTTTCACGCAAATATACGGCGTAAATTATTTTGAAACTTGACCGTAATTCTTCGTTACGAACGCCATTAGCATTCGGTGTTTAAGGTTATTTAATACGCCATTTGGATGTAGATACAGCCTTCCTAAATGGATCTAAAAGAGATTTCATTGATGTAACTATGCGTGACAGTTTGTTAAAACTGTCCGCTTTATGGGCTTAAACAAGCTCAGAGGTCGTGGAATCTTAAGTTAAAACAAACTTTATCAGCTATTAACTCCTTCTGAATCGTGCATTTTTAGAAAACAAATTTACTCTGTCAATAAATTTTATAGTACGTATACGTAACATATATCTTTTATTTCCATCACAATGTTACTCAGATTCCAATTTAAAAATAGCTTCCAACACATGTATTATGAAAATCCGAAACAAGGAAGGTACCATCAACACTCGAGACGATATAGAATTTTTTTAATGAAAAATGTTTATAAATCCACCAGCCCTGGTGCCCCAAGATGCGACTCAAGCCCACAAACTTTCGCAAACCGACTGCTCTAACCAAAGCTACTCGAGACCCAATAGGACTGACGAAATTTTTCAAGCACATTACTTTTCGTTACTAGTAAGCGAATTTTCGTCAATATCCAGACAATCCTAAACAGCTGTAAGAGATATTATGAACTATCGATTAAGATGAAAAATTATGCTAATTATTATATTTGATATTAACTACTCAACCAACTCAATGAAAAATGGCGCCCTTATAAATCACAATAAAATAAAGACTATAATGTAGGTACACCGAATAAAGAATGCAATTTTGCCAATGACAAAAACTCCTTAGGTAGGTCTGAAAAATTATGCACTTTTGAATACAGCGGCATGACGTGGACTAATAATACGAGGGTCAAACTGAAAGTTCTTAGAACTGGCCACTTATAAACAATATAATAAAAAAATAATTCTAAAATTTTAAAATATAACTCTTTGCCAATATTACTGAGTATATATTTCATTCATTTGTCATTTGTTTTACGATTTGTGCGGCAAATTGAAAATTGTCTGTGTCACGTCATCATGAATTTAACACGAGAAAATTTTCGTGCAATGATTTTTTATGACTTTCGATGTCATTTAAGTCAACAAGAAAGTTATGATAGACTACGATTGGCCTTTCACGATGAAGCCCCATCTCGTGCGACTGTTTACAACTGGTTTAATGAGTTTAAACGTGGTCGCACTAATCTCACTGATGATTTACGTGAGGGACGGCCTTCTACGGCGACGACTGAAGATAACATCTGTGTTGTGCGGCGTATGATAGAGACTGACAAAAGAGTGACCTATCAACAGATTCGGACAAGCTTAGGCATCGGTATGAGTCAAGTGCACAAAATCCTCCACGAACATTTAGCGGTCAGGAAGCTTTGCGCCCGGTGGATACCTCATAATTTGACTGAGGCTCAAAAACTCCATCGTGTGGATTGGTGTCGTAAAATGATTGAAAGATTTAACGGAGGTGACTCAAATGCTGTGTTCGACATACTAACAGGTGACGAAAGCTGGATTTACTGTTATGATCCTAAAACCAAAAGACAATCTGCTCAGTGGGTGTTTCCTTTCGAGGAGTTGCCAACTAAAGTGAAGAGAGATCGAAGTGCGGGAAAAAAAATGGTGGCCTCGTTCTTTGGAAGGATAGGTCATTTTGCAACAATTGTGTTAGAGGATCAAAAAACAGTTTCTGCAGAATGGTACACTACCAATTGTTTGCCACTTGTCTTGGAAAAAGTTCGAGAGAAACGACCTCGCAGTAGGATCCTCCTTCACCACGACAACGCCTCGTCGCACACCGCCAAGCGAACGATCGACTATTTGGCGACATCAAACGTTGAATTACTGGGTCACCCGCCGTATAGCCCCGACCTCGCGCCTTGTGATTTTTATTTATTTCCAAAAATTAAAGAAAAACTTAAAGGAAAGCGGTTTATGAATGCTGAAGAAGCGGTGGCTGCGTATCGCGATGCCATTGAAGAGACCCCTAAGGACGAGTGGGCAAAGTGCTTTTCCCAGTGGTTCCATCGCATGCAGCGGTGTCTTGACGTGAATGGACAATATTTTGAAAAGATATAATAAAACTAATAACTGGCTAATGTAATCAGTTTTTGATTTTCTAAGAACTTTCAGTTTGACCCTCGTATACAGCGGAAATGGACTCGTGCCCTCAAGAAATCAAAAATCTTCATTAAACCATAACTGAACTTTGTAAAATACCAATTAATGTATTAATATAACTAAAAAAAAAACAATATTTGTTCCGCCAAGTACTTTAATTCATATATCATACACAAATGTATGTCGTTTAATCAGAATGTATTTGATATATCAGAACAATCATTATTACATGGTTTTTATAGCAGAACGGCGAATAGGTACATCCAGTGTTCACAACCAAAAGCAAGCCCATTATCGTATTCCATAACAAAAATTACCGTATATCGAGTTAAAATTCGCAAAATTATTGTACAACAGCACATCATATCAAAATTCCGCAGGTAAATTTAAACTACTGCCAATGTAAAAGGGATTAAAATCAAATGAAGTTATTTGAAATTGTATAACCCGATGTGCATGTTCACTGTACATAAAGTAACTGGCTTGTATCATTTTTCGATATAAATACTCGATACTTGTAATTTAACCAAGGACATACTTTTTTAGTATCGAATTCGAGGGACTCTTTTTTTATGTTTTTCTAGGTATTGGAAGATAAATCATGCGTAATATTCATAACATTATTTGTGAAGTTCACATATCTCTGGCGACATACATCGCTAAATGGGTGAAAGCCCTTCCAATTTAGCTGTCAGAGTATTGAGCAAACGTATTTATAAATTTTCTCGAGTCTACGGACAAATTTGGATTCGTATTTGTAGCTATTTAGATCGTGCTATGAACAAAGGAAAGGAATAAATCAACAAGTTACTGGCCGTTACTGTTATGGTAGAAAAAAAGGAAATTTTTAAAAGTTTGCAACATAATGAAATTACCGTACAATCCGCGAACGATAATAGTAGGCTTTCGTCCACGTGCCATAATTATCGTACGGTTGGGAACACTGGGTACATCTATTTGATGCATTAATTCACATTTAAACATCGATGAATATTATTATTGAATAAAATAGATCAATATCTACTGGAAGATAGATTATAACGACAATCCATGATTATATTTTATGTAACATCAAGTAATATAGTAATCTTAATATTATTAACTCGATTTTTACCTGCTTTAACATGTCATTGGAATTCGGTATTTTTAATGTAAGCTTGCTGTTATTAGAATTTCATACATCGATAAATGAAAATCACAAATGTTTAAATCGTATTTTTTTTTTCAAATTTATCACATGACCATAATATGGACTAATAGATAATAATTGATTAGGCTCGGATCAACTTCACTAAATTATTAAATGCAAATCATATCATTTCCGAGCGAGCGCTAGCAAACATAGAAGTTTGTAATTAAATATTTAACTGACAAATTAGATAACGGCTAAAATAAGACGTTTTTATATTTATAAACAATGATTTTCAAAAAAAAAATGTTCGAGTATTTTATTACCGAAATAATATTTACAAATATTTTCACACCTACTTTACTACGTTTAAAGCTATCAGAACTTCACAATTTGCCAGCGCCGGCTCAAGCTAAAATTAATAAAAATAAAATGTCTACTACCATCTGAAAATCAAGTCCATACAACTAACTACATTTTTTATACGTCATAAATATTAAATATCACATTAAGCTAATGTCAGTTCAGTCAAAAGTTCACCTACTACTTCAAACAGTCTATGCTAAATACACAGAAATTGGTATACGTGAGAGATTTATAAATACACATATGCACAACTACCTACATTTTGAAATAGCTCTTCAGAGAATTATCACTTAAAATAATTGAATTCTTACTCAAGTGCTCGACGAAAATTTTTAAAGCCCATTCAGATATCTCTTAGTAGGGATTTTTGGACTTATCCAATTTTTGTCAATATAGAACATACTCTGTGTGATAGATAAATACAAAGTTAACTTACTACTCGTACGTATTAACATGACACCTGACAGCCTATACTATTTCACCGAAAATTAAATTTCATCAATCTTCGAAACGCTAATACAGCTCCAAACGTAATTTCCGATGATCAATAATGGAAGGGAGGTAGGACCTGACACTATCTGATACATCGACAATCTTCATGGTTATAATTTCAACAAAAGTATAAGAACGATTTGAAATTTTCGTTCGACGACAAATAGAATAGGACCTCAGCTGTCATGTTAATTCGTACGAGTTATAGCAACATACACATCTATTTTCAGAATCACACCGTGATAGTGTAATAGTATTTTAAGCGCAACAGTACTTTTAGTCCCTCAAAAGAAGTTTCTGCAATGCAAAATTCATCAGTGACGTCGTCTTCAGGAGTAACGTCACGAAACCAACGTCTACAGTGCTTTTAATAAACAAGGTTTAGCGTCAGAGTAAATTTACGTTAAAATTGCAATTTTAGTATTCATCCAAATTCATATTATACGAAGATTAAGCAAACCTACTACCTTCTAGAAGTAAATATTACTCCCGTAGAAACTCGTACTAGGTAAACCTTTGCCAAGTCTCTGTTTAATAATATGAATTTTGACTAATACTAACTGCAGTCTCAGTACAAATTTACTCTAACACTAAACCTTATTTATTAATAAACACAGTTAAAGATTTAAGACTTACTCTTCGTACATACTACAATTACACGTGCCAATAACAACCAAATTACAAGGACATACCAAAACGCAAACAAAACATTTAAATAGCGAGGTAGATTTATACTTGTCCATAATTCAATTTCAAATCATTATTAAAACAAAAGAAAAATACATTTATAATATCCGTTTCAATAGGAATGATACATCATTGACGATTCAAATAATTCATTGTAACGATTGATTCTTAATATAAATTGTAATTTGATTTGAAATTTTCCTATAAAATCATAAAAGGAATCGGTATTATTCGCGTTCATAGACTTCTATACTAAGCATAACTTACACTACAGGAAATATATAATGGTATATTTAGCAAGTCGTATTTACTTTTATAGATTCAACAATTATAATAAAGGAATCTATTAATGACATTTAGATACATTAAAGCTTAACACTAACAAATTCGTGAATGATTCCACATATTATTATATATAAACATAAGATACGCTCATCGAATTTCCTTTAAAACCATCTAATTGCTAGTATCACGAGGGCAACATGACTTTTTGTTTACCATATCCAAAATTAAGTCTCAACTTATCTATTTAAAAGCATTCCAAACATTGAATAGATATGATTTGAAAGACCAGATAAGATACGGATTCTTTTTTTCAAAATATTTGAGTAGTAAGATTTATTCGCATCGAGTGCTTAAGATAAATCACATTCATAATCCAAAACAGTCTTGTGGTAGAAGAGAAGATACCTGAAAATAAATAAAAATATTCATTAAGGACGAGTGCGACAGAACTTGTACAGGCTGCCTCCGACTCGTATCGCTAGAAACACATCATAATAAAGACAGTTTGTAGGAGACTGTCAACTAAACAAGACAATAAATTGCTTATATTTTAGAATATTATACCACCCTCGACAGTTATTAGTCAAATTTAAGCATCTAATTATTTATGACTACAATACTTGTTCCGTATTATTTATTAGCTGTAATATTACAAATTAGCACAAAGCATTCGTTTGAATCTATTATCATTTTGTTTCTATAATGTAATGCTTAGGCTCACAAGGCCTGAACAAAACGCACCATCGTGGAAAACGAAACGTATGTTTTTTACGTTGTAAGTACACCTAAGCACACTGAGCACAATATAAAAACACAGAGAGAGAAGGTCTCCGATCGCCGCTCGCACAACTGGCAAAATATAATATAATCCATCTCATAAAACCTAGCTATATTCGCGACAAGTGTTTGTTGATGAAAGCTTCCAGCGACCTTAATAATCGAGCGACCTTACTAGGGCCCCATATCAAGATCAGGAAAGGCGGTGTACTTGGTAAGTGATCTGATCGTATTGCTAAACTAACTTTCTTACACAATACTATTTAAGAAAAATTTGAGTTTATAATATAATAATTATTGTTATTATTCATAATTCACATTTGGTTAGTTCACATTGTATTACGAGACGAGCGAATTCTTTTTATTCATTTATTTGGGTGCATGTGTGTGTGTTTTTTATTTTTTCAGTAAATAAAATTAATGTGCAATTCTCACTCACCCTTCGCTATCCAAAACCTCCCGTAGAGAAGCGCGCGTGATCATATGATCATCACATTTGAACCAGCTCCCCTTCATCTGCCTCACATACGCAGTATAATGGCCGGCGTCTAACGAGCCCAAATGATTGACGACCGCAAACAACGAGTACCTATTATCCTCAAAAATGGCTTCAGGAGCATTATTATTATCCACGCCAACATCCACAGCGCGTCTATGCGACGACATGAACGGCGTCATATCCAATTCAGCGGGGAATGAAACGAACGCCGATATCTTCCTGTCGATCTGCGATGAGTGCTCGAAGCGTTTCAAATGGAAACTGGCCACTATAGGCAGGGTTTCGAGGGTGAGCTGCTTCGTCGATTCGCGGTAAACACGGCACTTTGAGCATTTGATCTTGGCAGCTGAACCGAGATGTTCGGCCCTGGTGAATCTCTCGAGGCATGCTTGCAGTGAACCGGGGCCGGCCACGTCTAGACTTATATCCCAGAACGGATCGATGGTAGTGGAAACGCCAGAACACGCCGTGCACACGACGTCGCTCTGTAAGCCGCCAGTGAATATCTGGTCTATGATGCAGTTGCAACGATCGTTCTCTTTCCTCTCGGAATCCTCGACTCCGTTCATGCAATGCCTGTAATCAAGCATAATAGAATAGATTTATTATAAAATAAATACTGTCTCACAGGCCTTGTTTATGGTTAAAATAGAATAGAGATAATGAGCTGAATGCGGTACTATTGCGGATTAATGGGTGTTCACGACTACAGATACAGCCAGAATCATAACTTAACGTGCCAAGTGAAGCAGCGAGGAGTTAATTTTAGTCACCCATATGATTGACCCTTGAAATATTGACCCTTATTGATACCTTACCCGTGATTGACCCTTACGAAAGTTGCTTAATTCCCCGTTTTTATCATGTTGCTTGGAGTTTGCAAGTTTATGACATTATTACACACCTTGTCTTGTGAAGACTAAATGTTCATTTCTTAATAAATTATTGAAATTGCTGATAGATATTTCTTTAAACTTAAAAGTAAACATATGTGTAACAAGAAATTAAAAGTTCGGTTCCCTAATTTAGCGGCTAGTCACAACAAATCGCAAATTCCATATGCTGGTATGGCCATATGCTGGTATAGACAAAAGCTATAATAATTATAACAATAGTCATGAATAATAATTATAAATCGAGATAAATCACTAAACACACCTGTGCAATACGTCTAGTGTAGCGATGAAAAACTCATGAGCATCTTGTTGCTCGTAGCCCGCCAGGTGGCGTGCGTGTGTCCATATCAGATGCAACAGGCGGTGCAGAGTTAAAGGTGTCTTAGCACCTGAGTAAAACTCCTTTGAAAACAAGTAAACATAAAATTAGACAACATCACATACTTTGTTGAAGTATACATTCTAATAAGGTTGCTGAAGGCAACCTTTTTTATTGATTTACTTTTTTAATTTATATTGTCTATTGCCAGGTTTTACAGTTGTTTTTGTGTCAAGGGGAAGCGTATTTGTGGCTTCGTCAACAAAATATGAAACTAGTGAATTGCAGTCGTAATTTTTTAATTCCATTTCAGACTATAATCATCATAAATAGTTCCAATTCTGATGTACCATTCCTACTCCTTCCTACTTATTTCTATTTCTATATATAGTCATATGTAATCAAATAAAAGGAACGATGCTTGGTTTAAAAAAGAAAGAAAAATCATTTCAATTTAAAAAGAAATGGCTTAGATAATGGGCATTAAAATTTAGGAGGCTCGCTACGGCACAACTGTGTAAAAAATTACAAAAGTGTATCGCTGTATTTTATTGAATACACAAACAAAAAATAAAAACAAATCGTGTTTAATATTCTTCAATAATCTATCCGACGGACAGACAAAAAAAAATTGTCATCGTACCTATTGAAAACGTTTGACAGGACTAAACCTAAATTTAGTCTAATCAGCAGAACAGAATTGCTACCAATGTAATGTAACAAATAGGCATCTATTACATATACTTTTAATTCACATTTTACTTAAACTTTCAGAATATCAATGTAATGGTATGTTTCAATGCATTTAACGAGTGCTGTGATTTATATTTGGCAACGGTCCATTCCTAGCCAAGCAATGAAAAAATCAATACAAAAGTTGAAGGTTTTGTATGGCTTGCAACAGTTGGAGATTTTGTGTCGAAATACGAATTTGAAACTGTACATTTCATATTTGAATCGTAATAATTAAATTTCAAAGCAAGTTTGAAAATAAAACAAGATTCTTATAATAACGAATTTTCTGGTTGGAGTGTACTGGGCAATGAGGAAAAATTTGATTATAGTTTTTTTTTTATTCTAAGACTGGGTTGACATTTGGCCACTATCTGACCTGATGGGACGTTAGATGTGGCCTAAGATGGTATATGCCTTTATTGATAACGCAGAGGAAATACACTATAACCCTTAAACCACGGCCTCGCTCTGATAAGGGCAGGTTAAAACAATCATAATGATCCTCTGTAAAATGTATTATAAGAAAAAGAGATATTGCCAGATATTTTTCAAGTTTTTCAAATACAGGCTATATAAACATATTATTAGACATGATTTATCATTTACCTGGAATAATTTGGAGACCTCGCACACTAAACATTTTCCCGATCCTTGTGCCTTACATTTGTGTCTTTCACCAAGGAAGTAATCTCTTAGTAGCGGAGTATGAATTAACGTCTGAAAACGAACAAAAAGTAATCGAAATAAATTTAAAGGTAATTTTTAAAAAGGAACCGTATGAGCGCGAGTAGGTATCGCGCACGACCCTTCGTGGAACCCTTTCCGTAACTCTATAAAAGAGCAAACAAATCATCTTGTATGGGAGAAACATTAAATGTTTATTCTGATTTAGGACCTTTTCTTTAGTATCTGTGAAAATTTCAACTAGCTAGCTATAACAGTTCATAAGATACAGCTTGATAACATACGAACGGACATTGGAGTTTTGGTAATGGGGTCCCATTTTTAGCTTTTGGACACGGAACCCTAAAAATGGAGACCCCATCGATCTCTTTATACGAGCACATTCATGCAAGATCCTAAATAGAGCCACCTTTTCGCTTTCATTGAACCCTTTTCATGCATACACGCCTGTTTTTCAGTTTTGACATCACCTTCCAAAAATACGCGACCAATATGTTAATCGAAAGTGTACCTTCTACTCCCTGAAGTCATACATCCTTCCACCATCGCGTTATAAATAAGATTCGTCATTATTTCATCCAGCATTCCTTCCACATGTCCTAGCCAATGTAGTATAGCTCATATGACGTTAAAAAGAAATTAATCTCAATAATCCATCTTATCTGTCCCATTCTAACGAATAAAACTTGTTGGTCGTTCTAATTATTTAGTATTATCCTCATAATGTACCATTCCCATTACTACTTGGAAAAGTCAGTGTTAATTACTCCAGTGTTAAATCTTTAACGTTTGCGAAGTACAATATACGCCAAGAGAACAAAATACGTGACTGTCGAATATCTTTCTTTTTTATAATGCTTTCGCAGGTAACGTTTATATAAACATAGTTAAGAATACCTTATTAATATATAAGTCCAATAAAAAGTCAAATAAATTAACATTGTAAAGATTTAAAAGTCCTTTGTCTATGTTATTATATAAGTCTCTTTAATTATGTATCGAAGTAATTTATATTGTGTATATATATAGGTACAAATACGTAAATATTTATAAAGTGTAAAAGTTATAGTATAGGGCGTGTTCGAAGTGAGATATGTTTCTTACATTCGTCGGAGAAAATCAATAAATGCAAACTGCAAGTATTCAGCGCCGCACGGAAACCTGAATAAACCTGTTGAACAGTATTACGTAGGTTGCGAATAGTGTTGCCATCTGTAAAATATAGTAAACTAGGTCAGGCAGCTCGAAAAGCCCGGGTCTAAGTTTAATGCCCGGGACGTATTATCAATATGTTGCATCCCGCTGCTGCATCATTATCAGCAGTCAAATTCCTAAACGATAATGCATAATATAACTATAAACACATTAAAATTCTCAAAAACCTGACCATAAAATACGAGGACATCTTTCATTTTAAAAGCTGGGACAATATCTACTCCACCCATCAATTGATAGACAAGGACAGTTGGTCGTGTATTGCGCCTTAAAAATTATTTTTACTTAATTACTCGCAAATAACGACGCTTTTGGCTCACTCTGAATTACGAGAAAAAAAGGAAAAAGAGCTTTCTATAGAAAAAAATAACCGCGTTCAAATCAGTTCATTAATTCACGAGCTACACACGGTGCCTCTACAAACACACAAACAGACCGGTCAACCTTACAACCCCCCCTTTTTGCATCGGCTTTAAAAAAATTAAAGATAATCTTGTAATTTTCTATATAGAGAAAATTTTATGAATTATTCGTTCGTACTCACATTATTTTTAATTAGAGTTCATAGGACATCATTTCTATTACAAAGTACAAAACAAATTTGACTTAGCAACATATGACATAGACGGCCTCTTAAAACAAAGATGCAAAGAACGGCAACGTCGGCAATCCTAACTGCGAACATGCAAATCAAGTATTGATTTGTTGAAAATTCTAGGAAAACGTACAAAACAGCGAGAGCAATTAAAATTTTCTCGGAAAATACTAGCTAAAAATATATGTAAGTCTACAATAGCAGAAAGCATACTCCATGATACGATGAAAGTATGAATATTAGAAAACAGTGCTTTTCATTTTAATTATTATATTATTATTTAGTTATATCAATTATAACGTCACTTACAATAAAACTTCGATCTTGATATAATGCTTTAAATGTAGAGCCGGTTATACATTTGCTTATTATTATTTTTTATTTTATATCAAATACTTAACATTAAAAAAGCACACGTTTAGAGAACATGAATGCGCTATGGTTTAATGTGCAAAAAAAATGTATCAGATAAGTGCTATAAAAATACTTAAAAATGGTGTCACACGGGAAGTGGACAGAGAGTTCAACAAGAGGATAATTATCACTTTCGCGATAAATACATTATATAATTTGATATATCTCATTATTATATTTGACCAAATTTACATTCACTATATTTATCTCCTAAACGTTTAATGTTCAGCGGCGGAGCAGTCGCCTGGATAGCGTAAGGTATGTTTTAGAATACCATCTTAGGTTCCTAGGACTAGTGACTTTATGTTTCAAATTTAACCATATGGCAAAGTGAAAAGATTTTATATTATTTTGATAAAAAATATGTTGAAGAACTTAGGGAAAATGAATTCTAGGTCTTAAAGATTTTAGAAAATAGCACTCTGTAATAACGCACGCTTAAAAATATTGTGAAATCTTATGCAACTATATCAAAATAACAACACGGCTTCACATACGTAGTGCGAAAGCCCACTCTATAGCCATAGCTCTGGACCATAGGATACGAAGATATCTTCGCGAAGTTATGGCGTTATTTCGTTTCATTTAACTAGTTTAGCATATCTTTTGGTGGATAAATTTGGATTAATGACATAAGTTTAATTAAATGGCACTGCTATCAAATGCAAAAATACCGTACTTTATCATTAGTTCGTCGTTTATAAAGTCCGTGTCAAAATAATAAAATGAGATGAAATGTCGCCATAACATCGCTAAGATGTCGTATCCCATGGCAAGAGAGTTATGCGATCCTTCCACGGTTTTATGGCATAATGTGTTTGAGTTAATATACCTTCTCAAAATTATTATTGCATACCACAGTGTACATCAGGTTTTACACAGGTAGGCTTAGAGTTTAGAGTAATTTTCAACGTCACCGACGTAATCTTGTACATCCCCCGAAATAATTTAAGGTGTCCTGCATGACCCTCAGTCGACTTACGAGGTTCACGAGATATATGTAGCTGATGCATTCCATTTTTCTTTCGCTCCTAGGTTAACATGAGGTTCATGGAAACATCATAAATTATTTAAGGAATACAATAAAATAACTGAATTCGCATTTTGCCACTTCATAGAAAAGTATAATGCTGAGCCATACAAAAATATTCATATATTTTAATCCATACCTGTACAATGCAGTTCATGAAACATGTAGAGCCCAAGTTCTGCAGACCTCGGAGGCCAATAGTAGTATGAGGACTGATGAGGCGACGCTTGCGTAGACGACGAAGTGCTAATGCTTCGTTGGTGTTGGGTAACCAGGACATGAAGGGAACGCCCATTCCAAGAGATCTGGATTATACAGTATCCATAATGAAATGAAAATGATTTATTCAAGTAAGCTTGTTACAAGCACTTTTGAATCGTCCAAAAATATTTTTTCCCCTACCACTTGTCTTTTAGCACACATAACCTCAAGCACGTAATCAGCAATTATTCCTACATGAGTGAGACCTTTTACACTGTTCCAGAACAAGTTATACTGCGATTTTATTAGGAAATTTATATTAATATGCACATTTTATTTGTACATATTAAAAGAAATTATTGTTTCCACTTGAAATTGTATATGCACTATTGGTAATTATTTAATATAAAGTTTGCATGAACCAAGGGACAGAACCTTTTGTAAGACAAAAGGTGACTGTTTATTCAATTGAGCAAACTATAATGAATTTTGGTTATATCAAATTGCAGAATTTATTGTATTTTTTTCGTGTGTCTGATAAAAAAGTGGTTATTACCTTAATTTAGCAAAATTTTTACATGCTTACAACATTTTTAGGTATCTTACAAGCCTTTTCAATAACATGATCAATATCTTTAACTTTAGCCAGTAAATGTAAAATAAGACTAACATGATTATTTTAATGTGTTACTTACTTTGCTTCCTTTAAACGATGACTCCGTGCAATTTCATTGAATTCTCTGTCATATATGTAATCCTGGCATTGAGTGCAATACACATTTCCATAACTCAGATCAACATATAGGAAATGCTTTTTAGTCTTTGCATGTTCTTGTATATGACCAGCATAACATGCAAAATAAATACAATGAAGACAGGAATGCATACGAGGACCAGGCTGGCCACACGCAAAGCACAGACATGATGTAGCCTGTGAAATAAAAAATTATATTTTTCTTTATTTACATAATTTATAACAGATTGATTTAAAAGTAACACCATAGGAGACTAATTTTCAACATCTCTGATTAAGAACTTTAGGTGCAGATTTATAGTTCAATTTATGGACCTATTAAGGAGAAAAATTCCTCGAGCTGGAGGGGTGTGGGCTTATGAAACGTTACGATTTTAGAGGGAAGGGGGGGGGAGTTTCATAAAACGCGTTATGCAACATCAGTTTTTATTTTAACATTTTGCTGTAACATTGCTGTAGTCTACTTTAAATGAGAGCTTTAAAGAGGGAGATTTACATCATAAGATATTCGTGGCCTACATAAACTTCCATTAAAATGGTGGATGATACCAAATATTCATGTAAGGGCAGGACCAAGTCAAGTAAATGGTGTGATTAAATGTAAGATTAGTAATAAAAGTTTTTTGGATACATAATTGTGAGTGTTATATAACGATTTATGGAGGGAGGATGGTCAGAAAATAACAACAATAACACAACAAAAAATCTGTAATTTTAAGCACATTATTTGATTTCTACAAAGGAGATAAAACTCATTTTTTCATAACACCACAACTCATATCATATTCCTTCTTACAAACCTCTCTCTTGCTCATATTGGCATGCTATAATAGGATCCAAACCAGTTTTAAAAAAGTGTACCTGAGCGTTTCTCTGGAAACTGGGCATCTCGCTGTCTCAGACTAATATGATATATAAAAATAAAAGATCTTAAATATTTTGTGAATAAATTCTAATATTAATAACTTCATCTACCCCTGCTCACTGTTAAAAATCCATAAAAATAAGCTTTATTGTGTCAAAATTGTTTTTATAGGTCTTAAAAACCAGTCCCCTGACGTGTCACCAAAGCAGTACAGTTGTTTCAGATTAAATTAATGGAGTCAGTAACTATTGGACTTAATGAAATTGTTATATTACTCAATCAATATCGTTTGATTGTAAAGAAAACCTATTTATTTAACATTAATATTATTTTACAACTCGAAAAAAAGACAATGAAACTTTGTCCTCACTTTTTGTGAACAGTCCCCCTGCCTAGAATTTAAATTATGTGTCATTTATTCTAAACATTAAACAGTGACATTTATGCGTGTATCCGAACGCAACAAGTCTGAAGTTTGCGCGGTTGCTGCAATTACGGGAGAAAGAACGCCTTAAGTATCTTAAGAAAAAAGAAAAGGGAACTAGGAAGCTTGTTGAGAATATGACTCCACGAGAACACCGAGACGCAAAAAAGAAGTGGAAGGAGCATTGCACCAAGTATCGCAATAAGAAAAAAGCATTAACAATTATTACCAACTCATTTATTAGAGAAAATACTCCAGATTCTGATGTATCTATTCCACCTCAAATGCCAACAGCTGAAGTTGCTGAAATAATTAAAAATAATAATAATAAAAACAAGAAGTTAAGATATAAATTAAAGAAGGAAAAAGACCAAGAAATTGAATTACTAAAGAAGAAAGTATTGAAGTACAAAAAACGTTTATCACGATTACAAAACAGAACGAAGTTGCAAAAAATGGCAGATACTCCAGAATCAAGAAAAGATCTAGTCAAAAAAGCTCTTTTCGGTGAAGTATTAAAAGAACAAATACAAAAGAATTTTTCAGAGATGAAGACAGTAAAAGAAAAAAAGTTTCTTACAAAAATTGTTACAGGAAAGATAGTTGATAGATATAAGTTATGGCGAATGAAAATGAAAAAGACAAAAATGGCTCATCGACTGGAAAGAAAAAAGAAAATTTCAAATGAATATGTAAGAGAAGTTGTAAATTTTTATGAAGACGATTCTAATAGTAGACTTGGAGCGGGAAAGAAAGAATTCATAACGAGAAAATCAGAACGAAAACAAAAGCGATATATGCTTGATTCGTTACTGGGCTTGTACGAGAAATTCAAACAACAGAAGAGTAATTTCACACTGAGTTACCAAACTTTTTGCAGACTACGACCGTTTTGGGTCGTCATGCCCAAAGTTGATAAACGTAATACCTGTTTGTGCATTACCCACGAAAATTTAGACTTAAAAATATCTGCTTTATTTAATGCAAAGATTTTAAATTATAACAGCTATCAGAGATTACTCGAGGATCTATGTTGTGACCGCTATAATCCGAAATGTTTATCTGGAGAATGTCAAAATTGTGTCAATAAGATTCCTGCTTATAAAGAATTCGATGACAGAAGACAAATCAGTTATAAAAAGTGGATATCTGAAAAAGTTGATTTCGTCGACCCAAAATCCGAAAAGGCTCGTCGAATTACGAAATTCTTGCGCACCCCTTATTATGGAACTGCAAGAGGAGCTAGAGAACTTTTTTTGTCATGAAAGAAATATTGTACACCAGTTCAGTGCAATAAGAAAACTTAAAAGTACGCTGACAGAAGAAGATGCTCTTATGCATATGGATTTTTCTGAGAATTATTCAACTAAATATTCTCAAGAAATTCAGGCTTTTCACTTTGGCGGTTCACGCACCCAAATTAGTCTACACACGGTTGTTGTATATCTGAAAGACACAGTTAAATGTTACTGCACACTATCTACCAATATTTCTCATTCTCCAGCTGCTATTTGGGCACATCTTAATCCGATTTTTAATTCATTGCCACTTCAAATTAAAAACCTACATTTTTTGAGTGATGGACCAGTAACGCAGTATAGAAACAAAACAATGTTTTACATCATGGCGACAAAAATACCGAAACGATTTCCACATGTGCAAAATTTTACTTGGAACTATACGGAAAGTGGCCACGGTAAAGGCGCTCCAGACGGCGTTGGAGCTACCTGCAAGAGGACAGCTGATGCTGTGGTCGCTACTGGAAACGATGTTGAAAATCTGGAAAAATTTGTAGAAGCCATTAAAAAGAGATGTCCTGCAATTAGTTTATCCATTATACCAGATGAAGCGATTAAAGAAATGAGTGCTGAAATCGGTCGAGAAGAAACCAATGTGAAAAATTTTGTTGGCACTCTCAAAGTCCATCAAGTCACTGGAAAATTCTGTACTCAATTTGGCATTAAATCAAACTCTACTGAGATAGTGATGAAAAATCTAAGCTGTTTTTGCGACAATGATTGTTGTACGCACTTTAATATCGGGAAAATTGTTTATGAACAAAAGCAAAAACTCAATGTAGAAGACGTGTTCACTGATTCAGAATCTGATAATGAAGCTGGGCCCAGTTGTGCTATAGTACAGCCATTTAAAACTGGAGATTATATTGTCGTGAAATTACTTGGCAATACAAATACGGAATATAGATATGTGAGTGTAATTGACAAGATTGATGAAGAAGATGACGAAATCCGGGTTACATTCTTAAAGCTCTGTGATAATAAAGGCCAATTATTTAAATATGATCAAGATGATGTGGCAGACGTTACAATGGACCAAGTAATACAGAAGCTGCCTAACCCAAATATAGTTTTAAAAGGAAATAGAATATTTTACAAATTTGATTTACCCGTAGATGTTTTCGAAAAACAATAAGACTGTCATGATACTGTTTTCTTTACTTATTTTTGCTATATTAAGGAGATGATATCTCATTATGATGAGACTGATTATTATTGTAAGATTCAAAGTTACTTAACGTCTTTTTAATGTGATTTTAATATAAGAAGTTAAATATTAAGTTTTCAGTACAAAAGTTTATATAGGTAGTTGAAGTTGATTATCTAATTATTTCGTTACTTAATTCTTAAGCTTTAAAGTTGAATTATAATAAACAAACATTGCATTCTGATACAAAAATTGTTTTTTTTATTTGAGTTTACAGTCCCCTGTCATAGATAACAATCCCCTGTATGATTTTTTCAGAATATGCTTAATATTTCCTAAAGTAATGGGAATATCTTTGGTTCCCCAAAACCAAATAATATTAATGAAACCTAAAAGCAAAAAAGTTGCCTAGACAGTTATCTTAGAATGAGTTGCCCAGTTTACAGAGAAAAGCCCACCTACTTAAAACGAAATAGGCCCAGTTCTACTACTTTTTCCAACCGAGGCAGAAACTTGGGCAACGATTTTGCGCCCTAACCCCCCCCCCCCCCCACTCCCCACCTGTATTTTCTAAAACCATATTTTTGCAATGCACGGGGCAAGTACCCTCACATGCCCCCTTAGATCCAGGCCTGAAATGAAATAATAGTATCTTGTGTTTGCCGCAAATATTAACAAGAATCAGTTGAGCACTTTTTTATACACAGAAAATAGACACAGGTTTTGAGGCATCACATGTCTAAAGAATGAATGTTTTTTAATCATTAACCAAAACTACATTTTGCCTATCAATCTCTGCTCAGTAGGTGACTCTTCTGGGATGGTAGTTTAATTTTTATTAAAAAGAGCCTCAGATCTTTTTGTTACTTGGTATAGCTGTTTGTTTAAATAAGAGTATTTACCTCCCTCCAAATTGTGTTAGTACCATGTAAGAAACACTGTTTTACATGACTGCCCAAAAAAGGAGTGTATTGAGAATAGGGTTAATTTATATAAGTGTTTCTTTATTTCCCCATAATTTTTCATAGATTTAATGGATATGCATGTAAAGGGTATGTATCATTAGAAACCTTATACCTTCCCAAGTAACATCAGCTATATATTTTATTAAATATTAAAAATCACTGTGTATGAAATCATTTAAAAAATTATATTCAAGGTCTTGATGGGTACATATTAAAAATATAATACCTACTGTACATTAACTGGTCACTAAAAGGAATAGAATAAAAATAAATATTTCAAACTAAACATAATAGCCAAAATCAAACTAAAATATAAGAAACAAGGTGTATTATGGCTTGCCTAAACAAAATTCTCACTGGACACAGGGGCCATTCTGTGGAACTTTATAGTGTAAGAGGTCTCCTGACAGCAATGAGAATTTTATTTAGCCAATTTGAGTAAATTTTTTGAAAAAAATTTGGCAGTTCTGTTTTTTTCATTTACCTTTTTTTTAAATATTAAAATTCAATCACCTAATTTTATATAAGGTCCAGTTACTTTATCTAAATCATAATGAAAAAATATTTACCTTATGATAAACATATTTTATTTTAGGTTATCTATCTTTATCTTTGTATATCACAAGCTAACAGGGGACAAAAAAACATTGAACAGCTGTTTTTAAGGTCAAAGATCATTAGTCAGCTGATTTACTATTTTTGTAAAATCTGCAATAAGTCTACCTCCGCTTTATAACCATAAGGAATATAAATTCATATATACTATGCTGACATCAATAATTTACAAAACTTTTGTAAAAAGGTCTTAATAAGGCCGACATGTCGACAAGTTTTTATATGCGATGTATTCTAAAATAACATAGCGACCGATTACATACCTTGTATCTTCTGGCTTCAAATGATGTACATGACACAAAAAATGCGTGCACGATTTTATAAGGATTCGTTCCCTTTGCAGCCTTAAAATTATTTAGGTGTATGCAACCACTGTCGTTCATTATTTCGTTTGTAATTTAGTAAACCGGGTTTGCAAAATGAAATCTTCTTTGTAATTAATAACAACTAAAATACTATAAGCATAATAATAAATAAGTATATCACTACACTAGTGAACAGGTATTTGAGGACCTTATTTTAGCAAAGACTTGACGACACGAAAAAAGATTTATGACTCTGGTCAGGACTGCGATTCAATTCAATGTGTGACCATAATTTGTGATCACAGACCATCACAGTCTTAGTATGTATGTGTGTGATGGATGGGGGCGTGTTCTCCTCTTCTCGCTCTTTTTCAGTCAAGCGCAGTGTTACCACCATGAAAATGTTGGAGCGTCTGATTTCAAAAATGAAGCTTTAAGCGGGGAATGAGGAAGTATTTAAAAAAAATAAAGAAGCTACAAAAATTTATGTCACTAGATGGCAGCACAAATTGTTGGATCTAAACGTCAATTCATGACGTTAAACCAGAGACTAGAATTGTCAGTGTTGTTATGGATCTGATAACTCGGATTAATATCGAGTTGAAATTAAATTAGTTCATGTTATGCAAACGCAACTCAATTAATACAAAGTAATATTTGAATAAATTTCTTTTTTATTTTTTTAGAGGAAAATGGAAACTAACATAATGGAAATGATTTTTTTTTTAATTTATAGAAATCAATTGAATTAATGCTGTGATATAATTAAAAATGGCATTTGGTTACGGTATTCAATAATATTACCGCCAAATAGTTTTTATATATAAAATATTTATACATAGTTGGTCTAGAAATTTTTTATTATATTTAACAAAAGTTCTGAAAACTATAACAACTAGGTAAGTTAGTTTTATTGCTATTATTTATTTGTTGAACTTACAACAACAAAACTACACAAAGTCTCAATAATATTTTTATAATATGTATGGTGAATGAATGAATATATAATTATAATAAAAATCCGGTTTTATATATATATATATATATACCCCCGATATGTATCAAAAATACTAGGTATTCGTACAAAATAACATGACTTCTGGCTAAAATGACGTTTGTGCAAAGTGTAACGTGCAAAAAACTTGTGCTTTCGAAATTAAGACTTTAAAAAACTATGATCAATTATAAAATATTATATTCATAACTAATAAACATTCAGCAATGAACAAGAAACGTCTGTTCTAAACTAATAGCAAGGTTATGACTTTAAATTTCAAAATCACAAAGACTTTCATTTATTGTATTATTGCTACTGATCTTGCATGTCGACGGTGGACGTCGAGCCATGTGTTAATTCGTACGGTGGGTATGTGCTTTTTGGTTCTTACAATAATACTGCTAATAATAGAATGACTTCCTACACAACCTTCTCTAGAAATCAGTTTTATTGAAATATATTATTTACTAAGCACCTAGAGTAATCATGCTCTCTTAAAATCTCTGCGGTGGTGTCGTGTGTATTAGGTCGTTACGTTCCCTCAAATATGGAATAGTTAAGTATATAGTTGAAATAAAAAAGCAGACCTTGCTGAACTTCTTGCCGATTCTTGTCAATACAATATCACCCACCTTAGTAGAACTATTGGCAAAGTTTTCGTCTTTCACGAGTACTATGTAACAGCGTAGACCGAATAGATTTTGATATTTATATTAATATCATTCGTTTTATTGGATACATAATGACACATACAAATATAAGCTGAATTCTGTGCTCCGCTTTTTGTTCTTCATTCCAAACCTTAATTCGGATGAAAGTTATGGCGAATCAATAAGTTGGCTCATCACTAATGTTGACGTATCAACCAAACATCGTTCCTTTACACGTAACATAATAAACATCTTAAACTTACGATTAAAATTAATTTGAAAGTTGGATATTATAAGAAACACAAAACGATGTCATATTTATTAATTTTCGATACTCAATTTACTTTCATTACGTTGGAAACAAAATTTGAATGAATATCATAAACAAAATCCAAACATCGCGAGTGACATCTAGTATGATTTCAAGAACTAATTTTTATTTTTTAAATACATGCCCGCGGGCAAGTCATTACTATAGGTCTGGATCATGGCTGCCTAATGTAGGTTCGTCACAGGCAGTCTGCCAGACTGCCCGTCGCCCGTCAGTGCGATCTCATTTTGTCTGCGCGGGCACAGACAAGTCTATATGTGAATGCTCACCACGGGCCGACTGCTCAGTCAGACCTGAGCGAGCCGGACAGTAAGCATTACGGACGTCCGTTTATGACGAAATTTTTAGGTAACGTGAAACGAAGTGAGTTTTAACGAAAATAAACAATTTTGGGAAGATTTTATAAATGCATACAAAAAATAAATTAAAAGGATTTTATATCCATTAACATGTAATTGTATAAGTTACCTGGTTTATCAGTTTCCAATTCTCTAAGTAAATTTATAAGGCTAAACTTATTTCTCTTTTTGTACCATTCTTTACAACAAACTCATTTCTTTTTCTTTTCGTCAAATAGAATTACTGTAGCAGCAAATAATGCTATTTTTCTCCGTTTCATAGCCATTGTAATATGTACTTAAAAAAAACAAAGCACTAAAAAAGCACCTCCTTAAAATCAAGAACGTACCGCGGCGACATCGAGTTAGATTTCGGGAACTAATGTTTTTTTTTAAATACTTCTCATTCAAGGTTGAGCGGATGCCGCTTTTGAAGTGAATTCGAACACCTGAGAGACTTCGAATTCGGGTTTGGATTTTATACAGATTCACAGGGCTAAGACGAACACACTTGTGTACTTATGGAAGGAGGATGTTTTGAACTTTTGTATAGTTATGATGTTTTGATATTTTAACGGTATTTAAAATTTTATATTAGTTCTTGAAATCATACTTGATGTACTAGCGATGCTTGGATATTGTTTATGATATTCATTCAAATTTTGTTTCTTACATAATTAAAATAAATTTAGTATCAAAAATTTAGAATACCTAGTATATTAAATACATATATAGATAAGAAACTGATTTAATATTATTATTATTATCGTTTTTATGACCTTTGTTGATGATTAATAAACCCTATTAATTAATTCACTACACATACAAAACTAACTTACCTTGTTGTTATTGTTTCCAGAACTTTTGTTAAATATTATAATGAAAAATTCTTAGACTATTGCATAAGTATTTTATTTATAAAAAACTATTTCGCGGTAAAATTATTGTATACCGTATCTAAATGCCATTTTTAATTATTTCACAGCGTTGATTCGATTCGTGCTCACTTCCATTATATTAGTTTCCATTTTCCTTTATACAAATAAAAAAGATTTTTTTCACTGATTAATTAGTTCGTATTAATGTAGTTGCGTTTGCGTAACTCGTACTAGCTGACTTTCAACTCGATATTAATCCGAGTTATCGATTTAACTTATTTAGTTATGGATCTATTATGGATGTTGTTAACACTGACAATTCTACTCTCTTTGGTTTAACGTCATGAATTGACATTTAGATCCTACAATTTGTGGTGCCATCTAGTGAAATAATTTTTTGTAGTCTCTTTATTTTTTTTTAATACTTACTCATTGACATTTAGATCCTACAATTTGTGCTGCCTTTGAGTAAAATAATTTTTTGTAGTTTCTTTATTTTTTTTTAATCCTCATACATCATTATAAATTTAAACTAAAAGAACTTTAGTGGAAATATTTGTATTTTAATGGTAACTATTAAAATGTAATTTCTGTAAACAAGAAGTAATTGTTTACCCAATATCCAAAGATTACACAGTATCCAAAGATGGTATGAAACTATCACAAGAGAAAGTACCGCAGTCGTCGCATATCTTTTCACGTTTCCTATTTTCACCCTGTGTAGAAAATAGTCTTCTGCTTTTTTTATGAAATAAACTGTGCGTTATTGCACGTTTACAAGTGATTAGCGCATTTGATCTGTGATTGCGAAATTAAAGCGACTTTCGCAAAGGTTACTAATGGGATGGGTGATCTTTTTTTTACTGACTTAACAGGATGTGGTTTGTATTTTGCTCTTTTGCCTTCTCCTATGTGTATCATTGGTTAGTCCGTTTGATCTGCGATCGCTAAAGTTAAAAGACTAGAAAAGGCTAATAATGGGATGGGTGATCAATTTTTTTTAAATTGGTTGCGCATGATGGAGCGGAATAGGCATTGCGACATGAGCCAGGGTGGTGCGGTGTGGCGGGCTTTTGCTCTATTGTCTTCTCTTGTACTTAGTAACATGTACAAAAATTTAGTCACCAATTCAAGGATCAATCGCGCAAACACTCGTCCCAGTTCCGATAGGTGGTGCTTAAATGAAACCAATTCACTCAGCATTCCTAATTGGGCCCACGTGGAGGTCCCAATGCGGATTAGTGGTGATTAATTGATGAAATCAATCTACTCAGTAATTCGTTCTGGGACAACGAGGTCGTCCTAAACAGTTCCGAAAAAAATTTGACCATCCATTACCATAAACCTCCGCAATCGCAAATCAAACACGTTAATCACTACATCATCGAGCTATTCACTTATTTAAATAGAAGATAAATCACCATATTTTTTTGTCAAATTGAATATATTTTGATGATTTGGTAGTATTAGCATTCTCATGCATATTACAGATATATTTAAGACAGACCTTGCCCATTTGAATGAAGAACTACTTAAAAAATCATTTGTTCCCGAAATCGAACTAGATGTCGCTACAGTACTTTCTAGATTTCTCCAATACAACCCTTCCAATTTCCTTTCACGTATAAAAGTAAATTAGTTTTCAAAACTTAATAAACAACTCATATTATTATTTTTTCTATTTCGTATTTGTATTGTTATTTAACGTTCGAACTTTGCAAATTTCAGTTTTTCAATATGTTAGTTAAAAGGAACAGAAATGATTATCTTTGGTATATTAATGTACTGCCATAATCAACTTTTGCTAGAGTCGCCATCTAGTGGAGGTGCTTTTTTAGTGCTTTCTTTTTTTTAATACTTCCATACTTACTCATTGAAATTATACTGTTTTTTTTGAAACTCGTGTATTATTATATTATATTGTTATTAATATTCTTAAAAGGTTTTTTTTTGTCGCTGTCGTATTACTATGTTGTTACTGATTATTGTAACAAATCGATAAAAATATTTTGTGCTCTAAAAAAAGTCTGTCTCTCAAAACCGTAGATTCCCTGTCTACGCTTAAAACGGTAGTTACTAACTCTATGGTGCAGTAAATAAACATGGCCGCCGATTGGGCTATGACGATGTAAACTTTTGTTTGTTGTTTATTCGTTTTCTAAATAATTTTGAAATGATTAGTGATTTTGAAAACTTATCCCTTAGTGGAAATAATCCTGCAAATAACCATGGAGATCCTTTCTCCCATACGGGTAAGATTTGTTGTTGTATACAACTGTAGACGTAGAAAGAGTTGTTTTCCCCATTTATAACATGACCTCAATGGCTAGAAGGATTACCAGAGTACTGTTATATTTTTCAGAATTAACGCCTGAACAGCAGAAAACATTAATAGACATTAGAAGACGGAAAACAGAATTGTTGTTGGAAATACAGGTAAGCAGTTTTACGAAATTATATTGTTGTAGTTTATTTAAATTGGATTTGATAATCAGTCAAGTCAGATATGTGTATCAATAAATAAAGAGATTATTTATTAAAGCACTTGTACCTATATTGTTATCCTTGAGCGAAAGGGAATTGATCCAATGTAAAACTACTGTCATTGATTATATGCTGGCAACTGCCTATCAACCTCTGATACCTTCAGTTTATATCTTGTTACCATCATTATAAATCCTTTAAAGTAGGTGTTAAATTATGCATACTTTGCAATCGTTTTACATTATAGTACTCTAATATAGCTCACCTATTGGCAAATAAATTATTTACTCCCTTTTTCTGTATTTAGCAATATTTTTTTTTCAAAATTGTTATTAGTATGTTTTGAAAACTTAAAAATTAAATTTTTGTAAATCGGTGATAAATATAGTTAATTTAGTTTCTGTTTGATGCTGTGAGGCATCTTGGAATTTCAAATACAAATATTATTGTAATTTATGAAAAATCCTACTACAGAGTGAAAAGACATTAAAATTTTCAATTTTGGTTTTGTTAAATACAATATCCTTATTAACTGTTAATTAACTGTTTAAGAAACAGGGTCTCTGAGTTTTCAAATTAAAAGTGTTATTTGTTAGTACTAGGCTGTAAAATAATGAATTATAATATAAAAAATAGATATATCATATATATGTGAATTAAAAGAATTATATAGATGAATCATTAATACTTTAGTAGTAAATAGACTAAAATAGATATTTTCTTTTATATGTAATAAGTGCATGTTTCTATCATCAAAGAAAATATATTTCCATGCAAGTTTTCAGCTCCTATTTCTCCACCTTAGAGCTTGATTTTCATAAAATCCTTCAGTGAGTGTCACAAAATAAGTACTGATCAAAGATCATGGGTAAAATTTTAACAGCTTATTCTAAAATGACATATCAGTCAGCAAATCAGGACAAATTTGTTTCAAACTATAGATTTATCTCATTTATTATATCTGTGTAATTTTATTATTTCTTTATCTTCAGACCTAACCTCAGTGTACTTATAGATGCTTACCGTGGAATTTTTAGCTTGCTGAACAAGCATTTTTTTTCTAAGCAAGGAAATATTTGCCAATCATATGGCAAATATTTCCTTGCTTAGAAAAAAAAAATGAGTATAATTACTTAAGATTGCTTCATCTAAGATATGATTGTTTTAACACAGATTGTTTTGGAGTGGCGTTTGTTGTAGACCTCTTGTTTTGCTTGATAAGTAGGCGCTCTAAGTCTTTACGGACTTTTTTCTTTAAGGATCTGTCTATGACAATATTCTATCCTCTAAATCTGAACTTTTAAAGTAAGTTGACAAGTATGTCAACTTTCCTCAAATGCTACACACAATATATATGGGTATACACATGGGTTCTTGTTACTACTGCAGCTAAAGACCCAAAAGCCATGCTGGCTCTACATTAAACATGTCCCAGATTCCCAGATCAGTAGAGTGATTCCGTAAAATTCAATTTTCTGTAAAAAAATCAAATTTGAATTCACTAAGGAGATCGAATTCATTTAGTAAGCAAATCTGCTTATCATTGAATTGCATAACATCCGTAGCACTGACAAAATTATCAAGTATACTGAATGTTTCATGCTTTATTTCTAATAGAATATTTCATAGGTGATTCATAATTTGCCTAAACATGTTTAAATGTCGAAATTATCACCTTGACGTCGACTGGTATTTGCAATAGGTCTTTACCTATGAAATTGCCATTCTGCTATACTGGCCATTTCAAATCAAAAGATATTTTTTGGCTGATAATTCTATTTCAAATAAATTTTATTTAAAAACATGGAATTCTTTTTTCTAAAACCATAATTTGTTTAATTGTTAGTGTTTTGTTTTTAATGCATTCGAACATTTTTCGTCGTCATGGATAAGTTCGAGTAATTATGGAGTATGAGTACCGTCGTGGCTGCAAAGCGGCACAAGTGGCACGCAATATCAATGTCTACGGCTGTTAACGTCGAAAGCTGCTGCTAATTAGCTTTCGACGTTAGCATCAAAAAAATAATGGTCCATTTGCGTCAAATAGGCAAGATAGAAAAGCTTGACAAATGGGTACCCCACGAACTCAATGACCGCCAGTGCGAAGTTCGCGTCGAGATATGCCTTGCACTGCCCAACAGGCATACAAATGGAGTAATTCTGAACCGCTATTTTATTTGTTGCGAGAAATAGATTCTGTTCGACAATCGTAAGCACTCAGCAAATTGGTTGGACCCTGGTTCAGCACACAAATGAAAACATAACCCTAGAAAAGTGATGGTCACTGTTAGGTGGTCTAACGCGAAGGTAATTCATCACAGCTTCTTACCAAACGGGACGAGCATTATTGCAGACGTGTACTATGAAGAACTGAATACAATGATGGAAAAGTTGGCACATCTCCAACCAGCTTTGGTCAATCGTTCTGCTCCACTGCTCCTGCACGACCACGCGCGACCTCATACTGCACAGCCGACGGTCTCCAAGCTACAAGAGCTGGGGTTGGAAGTTCTTTTTCATCCGCCGTACTCACCAGACTTTGCGCCTACAGACTTCTAATTTTTTCAAAATTTTGACGTTTTCTTGGCGGGAAAAAAAATTCAATACCTGAGACACAGTACAAAATACCTTCGAAGAATTTATAACGTCCTGTCCAGCTGATTTGTTCAAGAAGGGTATCAATAAGTTACCAATGCGTTGGCAAAAATGCATTGATTGCACGGGCGATTACTTTGATTAATAGAAATAAAAAATATAGAAAAAAAGTACACTTCATTTATTTCATGAAAAACGGCAATTTCATAGGTAAAGATCTAATAGTTAAGTTAAATTGGCTTCTTGAAACTACTTAGAAAAAAAATTAACGAGACATTATACAGTTTTAGAATATTTTAAATTCGATCACTTCTTTGTAACCGTTTATTTCAGAAGTGAATTCCAGTTTCGAGCGTCAAGATGACGTCGACTTGCCATTGACAATACTTATCTCTATGTATGTAATGTCAAAATCTTGTTTATTTTAGTTCCATTCCTCCGCGTCCGATAGTGAGGCGCTAGCGGCGTTTTCGGGTTATGCAGTACACGCAAATAGAATCTCATCGTGGATTCAGCTTTCCGATGTTCGAAATTCGGTTTCAGAATCTCATGGCTGTACGAGCCTACTATGACCCTCAAGCAACAACTTACTGTTTGATGATGGAATCGCTGAAGAGCTTCTAAAAACCGGAAGGTCTGTGCTTAAATCCTTCAGAGGTTATTCAATTTCATAATTTTCGAGTACAGAATACCTCAGGTATGGCAAAGGAGTGTGGTTGTCTTTTTTCATAAATATGACGAAACCCTTTTTGAAAATACTTAAGGTCTATAATACCTATAACTGGCGAGCCAATTTTAGCCAAGGCTTTAGCTTACCACCTCAGATCACATACATTCTTTACATCAAATAATCCATAAGACCGAGGAGTACCACCTACTACTGTGTTTGGCGCTTGTGGACTTATTCGGTTGATACTAGTAAGTCCATCGACATTATACCCCAGTTAGGGCGTCGCGTTGCTTTTGTGAAGATACTCATCATAATATGAATTCTAGCCCAAATACATATTATAAAACTAACTATTCCTGACCCCAATTTATTTAAGGGGATTGAATTGTTAGTTTTAACCGAAAAACTACAAACTTTAAGGATCAACATTTATGGAAAAAAGAAAGAGACATAATTATATATGATTATATGTTTGAAAAGCACTAAGCAAAAATGCAAAATAATTTATAGTATCGTTATGTAAGGGTCTCCTGAATTTACAAATTATTTGTCGGCGCGCGGCAGCTCTTTGAGTTACCTCACAATTACGTATAAAACCTGTAAACTTACAGTCCCGTTAATCCCAGATCCCGCTCAAATTACGACCGAGATTAGTTTCCAATAAAATTGCAACACTTTATATAAAAATATTCAGGCACTCCCTTTTACTTAAAATAAACGTTAAACAGTTATTATTTAATATTAACGAATGTTTTAATAAAACTGTGAATAAAATTGAAAGTAGCCTTGGGTAAATGATAAAGATAGCGGTTATTCAAGCAATTCATATTTTATATACAATAGGTAAATACTAGCACCATGTTTTGTGATCTGATTAAAAGTAATCAAAATTATAACTATAAAATCGCAGTTTCATACTGATTTTATTTAAACCGTATATTGTATTTATTTATATACTGGCTTAACAAAATCCGAAAAGCTTTAACACACGCAGCTCCCTACATCCCATAGACATAAACATTGTTTTTTAATTATACAAATTCAATAATGGTTTCATATTATGGGCACAAATGTTTTCTCTGCTGTTCATTCTTCAGGTCGAAGGTTTCGCAAACGGTTAAATCAACACTGCTCTATATACTTACTAAGTTTATTAGCCATATCTTCTGTAAACAGAGTTGGTCTATGAGGAGTTTTTGCTACCCTATTTTCACATAGGAACTCTAATTCGAATAATACTTCGATTATCGATGACATCTTTACCCATATTTTTTAATTGAACTTACTTTTTGATATGGAACAATCTTCACTCTGAAATTTGACACCAACCAGGTTTAATTTTATTTCGAATCTTCATAAAGGCAATTTCATTTTTAATCCCCCCTTTAGTAAAGGATATCATATACATTACGTCATATTCTCCTTGATGGTATAGCATCATTATTGAAACGTTAGACCCGAGACGTTGAGAATTCATTCAATATCAAAGTATGGACCAGTCTGACGTAAGCCGTCAATGCTCAACTTACTACAAGCCGGTCGGTTGTACGTACACCAGTATGGCTCAGAACGTGACGTTGGCACGTCGTGTGTCACGGATTGAAGGAGCCTGTTTTTAATCAACATCTCAGTGGTGTGTGTCAAAAAAATATTTCAGGTTATTGTGTTGTGTACTTTAAAAAAGTATTATATACCATCAAGTGTTTCTAGCGTTAGTGCTACCAGTAAGTTTCAAGTGATAACGCGGATATGTGGAAATTGCTATGACAACGTCGTTGATTGCAAAGTGTTTTACTCTTGTTATTGTATTTTCACTATACATTTCGATCGATCCATTCCAAACTTCGTCGCAATTCACATTACAATTACATTCTTCTTCCAATGTGGATTAAACGCCTCGTGTACCTTTTTATTGTTAAGCGTTGATCAGGTAATGTTTCAAAACACCCGAATCTTTATTGACAGTAGGAAGTTTGATTGTTAATGGATGTGTAATTCTTAATTATTGAAGGAATACGAAATGGAAATTTGTTAATATATTTGTGATTAAAAAAAATTGGAACACGATATTAGTGTTCAAATTAAGTATACCCGTTTAATTTACGTTCCGACAGTTTGAAAATCAAAGTGTAGTAATACCTACTCAGGAATATGTCAAACATGCGTGTCTGTTAGTTAACTCAGTTTTGACAATTGGGGAAGTATCGAAACATTTAACATCATTATCTTTTTATATTAGTATGGATAGAAACATCACCGACTTAAATAATTGCCATTCTTTTTCACTTTCATCATGTCGCCTTCTAGTAAATTTTGCTATGACCATTAATGAATCTTTATCAAATAGTTTTTATGTCTACGCATTCGAAATTACATTAAATAATCGTCTATGAATAGAAAATGACTATGCGTTAGGAAATTAAAAAGTAATTAACTTATTATTAAGACATGACTAATGATAAAAGGTTCAAATATAATACTAAAGATACATTTTCTAATTATTTTGATGTGAATGTTTAAAATACTAACGGGTTTTTAAATTCTTGCAAGCACGAGTTCCGGGCGTTTCTCTAGGATTTCTCGTAGGGAACCCCCGCAGTATTGAACTTATCATCGTGTTCAATATTTTCCGTGAAAGTAGCCGTATTATGCCATTTTTAATAAATTTCGGAGGGTAGACACTACGGTTTTTAAGATACGGTTCTGTGACAGAGAGAAAACTTTATATTAAAAAAATTAATATGAAGGGATAAACAGAGAGTGGGGTATGTTGATAGGGTCTCGTGTTCGAGATTCTAATAAAGCAAATATTTTTGTCTTTAGTTAGTCTTGACATATGTGCTGCGTGAAACTGCCAATTTGGTTTCCACCTAAATCAATCAAGAAAATTGATAAATATTGGTACTCGTATAACGGGTTAAAGCTCCATTGATTTGGTTTATTTCCGTAATATACTGTACCGAATTCCATAACTATATTTAGTCATTTCGTTTTAGAATCATTAAAAGCTGTTAATAGAAAATAATGTACGTTTTTGCCTGGAAATTTATTCAAACTGAGATATTTTCTGAGGCTTTAAAAGTGAATTGGATAAAGATTCTTTAAAATTAATGCGATCTATTTTGCTTGGATTTAGAATTTATATATTGTATTAAGAAAAAAATGTGGAGCTGTTGATTCACTTTTTGAGTTAGATGAAGCGGAATACCGCCTGACTGGGAAATGTTTGCGATTCATAGCTTTATCGCGTTTCCTCACTGCTTCCGTAGAATTGCTACCGAATGATAACAAACTGTCGGTTGATAACTTTGTTATGAAAAATATCCTTAATCATTTATAGACTAAAAGGAGAGTTTAGACTTTTCAAATAGTTATGTACGGTTTGCAGTTTTGGTTTTCCTAGCTTAACGTGTGTTAAATTAATAGCCCTTTAGAATAATAAATTGTTGTCTAGTTTAGTTCCGTATTGTCAACGGCTTGTCATATTTGTCACTGTGTATTTGCAAAATCATAATTCCCAATAATTTTAATGCAACATCGCAAACTGTGAACTTAGTTCTGAAGTAGGAAGTAAAAATAATTTCGGAATCCTTATTACAATGTTTGGTAGATCAATAAAGATAAGGTATTTACGTTAAAAGATTATACATTTTTAGGCAAGGTGTGAAAGCACTTTTGTCTGTCGTCAAATAGAGATAAACATCGTAGGTATCAGCGACGTATGTAATTGTCACCGTGCCAAAACAGCGGTAGCGCCCGCTACTATCTTCAGTCGAGTGCGTTACTTAGAGGGAAGTGTATGACGCGCGATGTGTTTTGTTCGGCTGCTCTGCGGCGCGCTGTGGTGGCCGGTTCTGATGCGCTGCGCCCGCGCCGCGCGAACATACGACGACGACTATGAACAGGTTCGTCATAGAAGTCGCTTCAATTGCACCTCGCAAAACTCTTTGTTGTGTCAATGTTCACCTGTTTCGGATCTTGGCAACGACGGTAGCGACATCGCTTCTGCATTCCGACGACGAGTGTCATGCATTCTTCCACTTGATTTGCTTACTATTGTTTGTTTATTTCATTTAGTCTTCCTGCCTTTTAGGTAACGTGTGGTTATTGGCTTTTACTAATAAGTGTTCGGAATCTAAAACTGCGGAGTGTGATGTGCACAGTGCTTTGGTACTTGTAAAATGTTTATCAAAGCGGGCCCGGCCACGGCCGAGCAGGAGCGTCGTGGATCAGTGTCCAATTGGTTTTCTTCATTGCGTCGCGGTGCTGGACGACGTAAACGTGAGGAATCCACTGTACCGACCAACTATGGTTCATTAGGCAGAAGGAAGGATGGCACACAGCCGCGAGGCAAGACGAGATCCGCATGGGATCTTACCACTGTCACCAGAATGGTCTGTATTTCATTGACACATAAATTTAAACGAGAATTTACTGATGCCACACTGCGCTAGAGACCGTAGTTGGCTATCATCCAAATAAGCAGGATCGATCACGTTCTTCGCGACTGCGTACGAAATAATGTATATCCGTAGGAAATGTATTTGGTATCAATTTAAAAACTAATGACTGTCTGAACTGTTTTGAATGTAAACAAAATGTTCTCATAGCGACTCAATTGAACATAATCACCATAAAAATAAATTATTGTCAGTCGTGAAACCGAAAACTTACGCATTAGTTTTCCTTTATACTTAAACATGAGTCATAATCACTACTGTATATTTGGATAATATTATTTACCCACATATGAATACATCATTTCGTGCGTAATGCTATGTTGTATTAAAATTTCACACCATATTGATAAATAAAATAATATCTATATTAACCATTTTTAGCAAAAGTTAAATATTGTATATCACTCGTTTCATAAACAAGCGTGTTTCATCTTTATTTTCGTAAATAAGAAAGTGTCAGTGGATTCAGAAACAAGATGGTAATTTTAAAATATTTATTGATTTACTTTCATCGTCATTCCTTAGAAATAAGATATTTTTTTCCTAGTCAACACGATATCATAGAAATAACTAAGTCATTTATTCCAAAACGCATCAGATATCTAACGAAAAAAAAACTATCGTAAATGATAAACAAAACATTCTACGGCTATTGTAGAAGGAGTATCTATTTTATGTTGTCTACGCCATTTATCTTGTTTTGCAAAAACTTATCAGTATTGTAAAGATAAAAGTTTATGCTGTTTACGTTACATTGATAACTGCTAATGCTAAAAATTACATGATTCTGTGAAAGAATACCATATAATTATTTTTTATTTGTAATCTAATATTACTTTTGAGACGGTAAATAATACTTTTTTCAACCCGCGGTATATATTCTGAATTAAAACTAATTAACTAACCCAAAAATTTGTGAAAGACAATTCGCCCTATCAATACATTGCGCTGATCGGAAATTATGTAATTGCAAATTAAGGTTTTGTTTTAGTTACAGAGTAGATAACATATTACTACGGCTCGATTGCTGACCTATTTGCAATAAATGCACTACTTTCGAACTCTGATGTCAAAACAACAAAAGTTCCCTTTTAAAGTACATGACAGTAGCTATTGTGCTAGCTAGACCAGAGTCAGTGTGACATCATAAGATAAACAGCAACTGCGTGTGCAAGTAAAACAATGTTTGGTCGCCCCAATAGCACACAATGTGCACATGTGATGGTGTGAGTAAAGTACGAAACATATGTATCATCAATAAAATGTGTTGATAAAGCATTCTCAAGATTACAGTTGGAACTTTAAAGAATATTTGAGTAAAACAATATTCAGATCTACAATACCTATACTTTTTATTAGCATTTTGTTTTACTATTGCTAAACAGGTATATGCCTCGTAATATTATACGTTTGTTATAAACAATCTCCTTAAAATCATTTGAGGTGATATTGATATGCTTCGTACGTCGCTTTAAGAATTTGAACATTAATCTTTCCCATATTTTCTGTTGGCAAACGTGACTTGTACGTTAGAAAACCAGTATTTAACGGTGGATATTTGTTTCGTGGTCTTTACGTATACTCCTGAGGTAGCGAGATATTTTTCCAAAATTTATTTTTAAAATATGTTTCAGTTGAAGAATATTTTTAGTTAAACGCGTTTCAGTTCCACGTTCTATATATTATTAATTTTAGAATAGGCAAAAATAAACCGCAACGAAATTATTAAGTTGTAAATCACTCAATAGTTTGTCTGTGATTTTTTTTACAGTAAAAGTGTAAAAACTACTTGTTATGTATTAAAATAAAGTTCTCATAAATATTATTTAACTTCTTTCTCATATCATGTTGAGGAAGATTTTGCACTAATTCGTAGAGCGACAAACATAGAAAATAAGATGTCGATCGGGATAAAACTACAAACAGCATTAATTCCATATGGTATCTGATGGATTCTGGGGCAATGCATACAGATCCATGACAATATTAATGGAATAGAATGCAGATACACATGCAACTACTTAAGAGTTGATTTAAAACACCATTGAAGTTAAAAATCCAGAGCACTGTTATACCAAACACATAAAATCCACAAACTAATAATGTAATAATACGCTTTTCAGAAATCGTGTGCTCTTTTTGTGATTGTAATTTTATTTGGCATTTAAATGATGATGGGTAATGAATTTCTTTATATTATGAGTTTTTTGATAATAGTTAACGCGTTTTACAACTCTTATTATCTATAAAGCTCTATACTTATTTTTACAAGCTTTTTTAACTTAGCGTGAGTTTAAACTTGCAAGCTAAATTTGCTGCATTTCGCTTTTTGATTGATAAATTTAGATGACAATGCAACGTGAACATGGAAAAGAGCTGATCTGATGATGTAGACGCATGGTAGCCATAGATCTCTGTAATTAAACAAAGTAAACCTTTAAGCTCGTTTGAATTGTCTTGACAAGGACTTTTTTAGTCCAAGATCATATCCAGAGTATGATGATAGGAAGGTGTTTGTAATGTAATAGAAATTCACATTATGCTGTGGTATCTTGTTAGCTTTTTATATGTTTTAATGAAATACTATTCAGCGACTAGGTGTGTTCGTTTGCCATGACTCGTTGAATTGAAATAACCGATTCTCTTTATAAAAGAACCGCCTATGCGTGACGCCGACACTATAGTTTTTTATCTATGTATCCCTATGTTGGATTAACATCAAAGTTGTTTAAAATATCGTCGGTCGGCTCGAAAAACATAATTATCTGTATCTTTGTTGGTTGGTTGGTATGCTCCTCAAGACTCACAATTACATTTCTAGGCTTCTCAATGTGTAAAATAAGGCAAAATAATTGTAACGTGGTTTGGTTTGTATGTAACATACTTTATCAGTTAGTGCATTTCTTGTAATATCTTATTTATAGTTTTCACAGTATATTAGCTGATACAGTATATTATTTAGTTTTCTTCATGATATCTACTTCATGATCATTATCATCACTAGCTTTTTAATGTCTTACTGCTGACGCTCATGCCTTCACTAAAGATGGAATCGAATCCAAGCAAATACTTCGTGAACTCGCTCAAAAATCGATATAATTTTTTAAATCGATGTTATAACCTGCATTGCAAACTTCTAACAAGTCTTCCGATTGGCAAACCAATTTTCCAATTGTCTCATTTATGAGTATGATATTACAGTTATGCGCAGAATCGAATGGAGTTGACCTTATCATGTCTTGCGTTTGCGTCACTTACTCCACTAATGAGGCCTATTAGCTATTCCACGACACGCGTGCCCCACACATTGGCATGCTTGTGCAAATTTTTGTGATCCACTTCTTTAACACGCAATTCTTTTGTGGTCTGATAAATTTACATAGCTTGCATATATAATGATTTATCAGTGTGGGAAATAAGATATTTAAAAGAATGATATAACTAAATGGGGATAATTTAATATTAATATTTGCACTTTAAATGATCCATACATAAAGTGACCATTTTTTACGTGTCAAAACGGGACGCCTACGAAATTTTGCATATAAATAGAAAAATATCTAGATCGATGTAAAATGCCATATTTAAAAGCTAAACACAAATTATGGTTTAAAATGTGCCATAATAGTTGTGGTATCTGACTGACATCCCCTTCGAGGAATTTTAGTAAAATTTTAATGTAGAAAAATAACTATGTAGATATATAAAGATTTGTTTGGGAAAGCGTGACATTTTTGTTCTCTTTGGGGACAGCGGGACGAACAAGCTGACAGCAGGACAATCCCGCCCAAAGCTGGATGTATGGTCACATTATCCATGCACGATTATAATTGTCATAGATTGATAGATTGTACTAACTGTGAGAAAATAATATTGTTGTATTCACCAGAAACATGTTTCATAAAATATCCAATATATTTAAACTAGGTAGGACGTTAAAATAAAACACTCAACTGTTATTGCACTTATAGTAATGATATATAGGAGTGCTCCGGGAATAGAATTCGTCGAGACAAGGAGAGATCTTGACCTTGCCGGGGTGGAGGGACGCAAGCCGAGTGACATTGCTTACAGCTACGAACTTTATCGACGTAGTGTGTTATTACCTGCAATTACGTATACACAAAGTTTTTGTTGCATTTTTGCTTCTATTTCGTCTCTGTATTGCCCTTTGACGTAATTCGAATGTAAATTACCCTAAACACAAGAATCCTTTTGGCCTTAATTAGATTGTCGTGTTTCTTTAATGCTGTTACCTACGTTGTTGACTGTTGCAGGTTCTTTTAACTGTAAAAGCAATTACGAATCTAACTTGAGAACTAGACACGCAATGTTCTTAAATGTTCCCTTGTTTCATCTAGTTGTTTTAGTTTTTTTTTTACTTTTTGTTATATATATATGTATATAATTAGAACCACATTGATTATGAAATTCATGAAATAATAAAACATTTATGTTTATGACAATTACAATGTGAGCCTGATTTGGAAGAATGCTTTATGCACTGATCATTTACCTCATCTTCATCAGGCATCTTCGCGGGACGGTAAATGTTCCATGGGTCCCTTAGGATTTGAAGCGGTTTAGAGCGGTCTTTGCCAGATTTCAAATCCTTCTCCAAGTGAAGGCACATCGAAGGGGGTTTAGTGCCTTCCGCGTTTTGACTATTATTTGGGCACTATATGGTTGAAGATACAAGCAGTAGGAACTCTGTCATACATAACGCATTTTTTTAATAACATTCAATATAGTCAAGTTATTCCTATCTAAAACGATATTTACGTAATTTGCAACGTAACTTAATTACTTTATTGTAACAATAAGTGCTCTGATAAATACTTTTCTAAAATAAAAAAAGTCGAATTCATTATTGCTCAAGTTTTTCTATTCAGTCAACCAAATACTATGAGATAATTTATTTTTTCCTTTCCCTT